AACAATCACATGTGGGTGTATAGTCTGTAACGTCAGCAATGACAGAGAGATCCAGTAAAAGTGGATGCACAGTATATATATATATCACGTGTCTGTTTAATAATGTGTTCACTGCGTTTGTAGACAGCAGGAGCCTCGGTTTGGCTCGGACACACTTAAAGTATCGCAGCATGTGAATAAACAAGAAGAGTTTCTCAATTTCAGCGAGCTCCTGCCAGCCGTGTTGAAATGTGAGCGTCGTGTCTCTTCACAGTGTTTATCAGAGAAAGGTCTTCTACTCGAGGCTCACTCCCTCCCCCCCTCCTCCCTGCACCGCCATGCAGCTCATACTTGAGGACTGTGCTCATCCTCAGGAAGCTCAGCAAAAAGGCCCCGCAGTGTGTCATTTCATAAGGACACCATTCACACAGCAGACTCGCCATAGGGCTGTTTGATAAAAAGGAGAACACCTCCCCCCCCCCCCGGCCCACATGCACACAGCAAAGGGATTGTGAGGCCACACAGCGCTTTTATTGTGGAGAGGAATGTCTGAACTCACTCCACAAGACAGCGAGCAGACACTGTACATGTGCACGCTCCCACGCATGATGTGCACGCTCCCACACATAATGTGCACGCTCCCACACATGATGGAGAGCTGAATCTCTCAGCCAGCTCATTGATTAGGAGATGGATTTAGATTATCAGTCTCCATCATCAGTAGATCTAAAATGTGAGAGTTTGCTGCTTTTTCTTCTTCTTATTGGACAGTTAACTAAATATATTTTAGGGTTTTGGTCAACAAACAAACAATCTCAAGATGCCATCTTGGGGTCGGGGAATTTACGACGGGTTCTTTTCACTGTTCTGTGACATTTTAAAGACGATGACGAAAAATGTTGCACTGACGCTCTTGTGAGTTTAAAATGCTGTCGTTTGTGATATTTACACTCGTAGCAACAGGACGTCTGTACTGCTGGGTTCTGATATTATTTACATATTTCAGACATTTAAAGGAGGACACAGTTGCAGACGTACATAAGCAAACCCAAACATCTATCTACTATATGAAACCAGAACTAAATGTCAGATTCTATTGCAACATGTACAGGTTTGTGGTACACATACACATAAATGTTTTCTGTGTACAAATGTGATTTTGTGTGCATACATTTAGATAATCTGCACAGTATACGGTTTGCTATGACTGACAATGAAAAGTTAATGCACATTTGCATATTTTGGATGTCTCATGACTGATTTACCTGAAACTGAGGGAAAGAAACTGCTCTCACGGGACGAATGCTATCTTCAGTTTAGAGGCCAATTATAAAATGTATTCTAAAGTTTATATGTCAGATGGAATCACATGCAACTGTTGCATAACTTCAACTTTGTGGGTTATTTATAAGTGCTTTTTATATATAACTAAAGTTTGCCTCCTTGCTTGCACTCACAGCCACAAAAGAGACAAAAGCCAAAGAACATTCTCGCTCTGTGTTGTTTCAAAGCAGCTTCTGTATCAAACAGCAGAGAAAGTTCAAGGCCATGAGTTAATTGAGTTCATTTCCCCAGCAGTAGCATCCACCTTTTCTTACCTCCAGATGTCCGACGATGCAGAAGCGCTCCGGATGCTTCAGGCCGCAGGTGGAGGTGACGGAGAGCTTGTGCGCCCGGCCGATCAGCAGGCCACCTGTGGCCGGGTAGCAGCTGCCCTCGGTGCAGACATCCGGGAACTCCGGCAACTGCTGCGCCCTGACGGGGCTCCACAGGGCTGCAGGGAGGAGAAGAGCCGTCAGTGACAGCCCTGAATCCCCAAAATAAAAACTAGAAATCCACCCACAAATCAGCACAGCTGGTCTCCTTTTGCTTATTATAAAACCCAGAAGCAGAGCATGTTTGCTTTCAGTTTAAATTAAAATCACATGGATTCTCTCAGGATTGAGCAATAAAATCGAATTGTCAAACTTTCCTGCAGCAGCTCTGCCCACTTCTCAACTTACAAAACACTCCAATTTCTGGTGAAAACAACACATGACTAATGGTTTACAGATGGCTTTCATTACATGTGTTGCTGCTGCAGACGTGAGAACCAAAGTGTCCTGACAGCACCTCAGATAGTTTGTACATTACCTTTAACTAACTTTAAAGGGTTAGCGTTATTAACTAACTTTAAAAAATAAAAACATAAACTCACCCAAAGTTGTTATAAAGAGGATTATGAGCCACATTTCCAAGTGTGGAACATTGACAGGACGTCCTGTAGATGATGCTGATGCGTCCTGCAGCTGGGAGAGTGGGAGGGAGTGTGAGTATGAAGTTAGAGGAGTTTTTTCTCAAAAGTCAAAAGTCTGCCCTCTATGGTGTGTGGAAAGGGCCAATCCCAGGATTACCCTGAGTATGAAGTGTGAACAGTGCCACAGACAACCTATTGAAGAACACAGCTGTATTTAACGTTCCTTTATGTTTGCTGAAAATATGGACCGTGCAGAATTATTCGTAAAAGGAAAAAGTGAAATTGAAAGCATTTATTGCCTCTACACGGCTCTCAACATGGCAACGGCTGAGCCGGCGGCTCGCAGCTAACAATGCTGACGGAGCTAACGGTGTTTAGCTGGATGCTACGCTTCCGCAGCACCTCAGACAAGCTCAGATTAACAAACTACAAGCAGGGAGAGCTCAGGTGGATATCACTCCACTATATCTTCACAACGCTATTTGTTTGTTTCTAAATCAATGCTCTTAATATTGTATAAAGACTCTTTAAGCACAAAAGTATTAGCTTCTAAATATAGCCACAAAACCAAAAGTGACCATTATGCAGGATGGCCTATTTCAGAATAAAGTGTATTATATTATAATAATTGATGCATTAATGTGTTCATTGCTTTAATTTTCAGCTGGTAATTTTAATTACTTTATATAATTTTAGCCCCCCAGGCATCGCTAAAGTTTGATCTCAATCTACATTGAGATTTATTTGTTGTTATATTTTGGATTATTAATCTTGTATTCAGAGACAAAGCAGAATTTCAACAGCATATACAGTTAGATTGCTAAACACAAACACATAAATATCTTTGGGTTGGTGCAAATCTTTTTTCATTTTGTAGTCCGGATTTTAATTTGCTAAATATATGACAACACTGCCTCCCTGTGTTCATAATGAGGAACTACAGCTTTAAACACCCACAACTCACTTGTCTCTTCATTTCACTCTTGTTCTTCACCCTTTTCTTCTTCTGCAGTCATACAGAAACACAAAGTCTGTTGTTGTTGTTGTTGTTATTGTTGTTGTTAATATTATCAACCAATCACGGACAAGAATTTGCTGATAATGGGCCTTTTCAAAACTCATTTCAATTTAAAAAATAGCATCGATTGCCCCGGCGGGGACATTGCAGCTCCCAAAATGTCTCCCTGGCTTGCGATTGATGTGAAGGATTTGCAGTTTAACATCAACAATGAGCCAGGAGGAGGTTTGAGCAACAAAATATAGAAGTGCTTCAGCTCATTGTTTCGTTATCTGCAACTTCACTGTTTTGTTTCACTCTCACAGCTTCGCTTTTGGTGAAAATAACGGAGCATTTAGCCGCTAAAGAGACAGTTATCTCCCCCCAGGAGCTGGTGGAGACCAAAAACAGAGCTAAAAGAGAGACAGCATTAGACTTACATTCATCAGATGGACACAAACTCTCCTCAAAATAAATGATGATGTTGCTACGTAACTGCGGGATGTGTAAATAAACAGTTTTCTACGTCCACAACTTGTTTCCAGTGCCGCCAAGAAGCCATAAACTCAGTTATTGCAGGTTTAACTTAAGCCTAAAGGTCTCATTGTGCTCACAAAGAAGCTAACACACATTATATTCTCCAGTTAATCAGAAATGAAGATGCTGTTGTGTCTACCGACGCTGCCTTCGTTTCCCCACATGCTTGTGCTTCTACATCACACAGTAATCTGCTGAGTCAGCTGACCTGTGGTGATGTGGACACTGGGATTTACAGCATCTGTGTGTAATAATAAAACCAGCGAGAGCCTGTGGGTCAATAACGCGCTCCGATATCGGACCTTCACAGACGTACAGTGCAGCATCTCGTTCAGCAGGAGAATCTCTACGTTTCTTCTCTTTTTAAGCTCAAACTGCAGCTTAAAGGAGCCGACTGTTCATTACTGGAGATCCACCTCTGCTGTGCTGCAGTCACACGAGGGGATTTGTGTTCTCGTGGGAAGTCGCCTGGTGGCACAACTCTAATTGTAGGCTACCTATAGCTGTTGTTAGGGTTCCTACTATATAAATATAAATAATAATAAATCACATGAGTAAGAAAACAAGGTTTACTTTATTTTCAGCAGATTCTAGCTGCTGAAAACAAATGTAATAAAGTATTTCTATTTTGTCTCTCGTATAGTTTTTACTTCTATCTTATCTTAGTTTTATAAACCTCTTAGTATTGATCTCTTACTTTCTCTATTTACCGGCACTTTGTATCCTGAATGTCCACATTCTTACACCAGACTGCATGGACTATTTGAGGACAAATAGTCTCCAGGAGCTTCTGTAATTTAAGACAAACTCCAGAAGTGCATCACTGCTGTCTTTTGTGAAGCTCAGCAACACTTTGGAGCTCTACTTCATCATTTTAATACACTTAATACACTAACTGGGATCAAAAAGCATGTTTTTAAAGACATCTAACAGTGAGTGGAGACTGGTTTCCCAGAGTTGTACAGAAGCTCTGTATTCAATCTGTCGCTTATTGTTAATAAAGTTTGTGTTTCATCTTCTTTCTGCACCAACTCAAGTCCACTGCTGCTGTTCTGGGAGGAATTGAAAAGATTCAATGCGACTCTGATCTACTTCCTTAGAAATTGTGCAGAGATTTCAAAGCCTGAGACACACAAACACTCCCTTGACAGCCGGGATGAACACACTCTGCTTTTAGCTGTTTCCTCCCTCTCTCTCCTCCTCCTCTTCCCTTTTCTTGCCGTCATTTTAATCTATCCTCCATGCTGAGAGGTACAGTAGATAGACACAGAGTAGAGGAAGGAACCTTCTTCGTACCTGTTGCTTCTTTATTTCTTCTTCTTCCTCTCATTCGTCTGTTCTTTCCTTCCTCTTCTGTGGTTTTTACAGACTCAGGTGAGAGATGGGCTGTGGAAACTCCTCACCAGCCACCAGCAACCACAGCAGCAGCAACACTGGAGGTGAGGAGAACATTTTGATTATCTAGTAGCATATAACAGCAGATAATATAACAGATTCAACGCTTCTCTCTTTCGTTAGTTGTATTTAAGTGTTTAGTAACTTTTTTTGTCAGATAATGCCGTTAAAGGTCCAGTCTGTCATTTTATTCGACCATATAAATTGCAGGGATGGTCAGCCTCAGTCAGGTTATGAATGTCTCTGGATGTAACTGACCACTCAGCTGTGACATGAGCCAAACATTGTGAAGGATATCAGATAAGTGTGAATGCAGCGCTCTGAACCAGACGTTCCAGTGTTTAAATGATGGAGTGCAATAACCCCATCTGCTATGCTTACTATTTATCTACTTTTAGCTGTTTTTTCAACCTAATCTTCTCAGATTCGTCCTTTTTATTGCTTCTTTTGCAGAATGTTTCTTCTTCTCGTTGCTGTAGATGTTATTCCTGTAGTCTCAGGTGGATGATAGCAAAGATGTGTTTGATCATTTAAATTAATATGAAGATCGTTAGTTTAACTAACATCTGTCTGTCTGTGACTTCAGGTCGTGCTGAGTCTTCATCAAAGATGTAAGTTCATTTTAAATCGTTCAACTTTCTCATTACAAACACATTCAGATGTTAAAAGATGTCTGTGTTGTTTGACCTTTCTCTGATGTTCTCTGTTACGTGGAGCTTTTAATGTGTGTGTGTGTGTGTGTGTGTGTGTGTGTGTGTGTGTGTGTGTGTGTGTGTGCTCTGACAGATCAGAAGAGTCTATGGCCGAGGACGACAAACGGAAGTGAGTTCTGATTTTCAGTCTCTGCATATAATATTGGTTTATACAGAAATAAATTACTTCTAAACATATTTTACATTTTGCATAATGTGTTATGATATATATGGTTATATGGTATATAATAGGAACTATGGAGGTGTGTACGTGGGTTTTCCTGCAGACCTGAGCAACACTCAAGTACAGATAGGATCACTCAGAGGTAACACACACACACACACACACACACGCACACAGCCTCAATTTCCTGTTGAGTCTCCAGGGCCATGAGTGCATGGGAGAGAGAAAACACTGATGATCTCTTCACAATCTGCATGCGTTTACGTTTTGTTTATTGTCTTTTATGTTACACATGCATGTGTCTGTGTGTGTGTATATATATATATATATATATATATATATATATATGTATACAAGTATTGTATATTTTGTTAGCGCATCACGTGCACTTCGTTTAATATTTAACGTGTGTGTTAATCAATGAAACTGATGTTCACAGAGCATGAGACAGACCCGTTGTCCCTCAGGAGGCCGCTGTGGGCCGACGGATTCTAACTTTAATGAAGAGCCAGGTGTGTGTGTGTGTGTGTGCTCGCTTCAGTTTGTGTGTGTGTGTGTGTGTGAACTATTTCCTAATTTATACTGCAACTACTGCACAATTTCCTTCGGGATAAATAAAGTTGTATCATAACTTATCTCATAAGAACAAAATCTCATCAGAGATCATTACTGTAATTATTATAGTATTATATTTTAGTATATTTATTCAGTGTTGCACGTGACCTCCTGGGTGTTTATTTTCCATTGCATCTCTTAAATCACGCAGTCATTATAATAATCATCATCATTCATTGTTTCAGTTTTAACCAGTTAAATCCTGCTGCTGTGTTTTTGTGCCTCTCTGTGAAGTGAAAGGTGCAACAGAAGAATCATACGGCAGAGGAAGAAGAAGAAACCCTGCAGGCGTTTGTCATCAGGAACTCACCAAGTCTCAAATGGGAAACAGCAGCAGCCAGCGGAGCCAATCTTCTCTCCCAGCGTCCATTGTGAGGACTTTAACGGGATCAGCTCCACCTGGTTTCACCGGCTGTGGAGACAAACTGCTTAAAGACTTTTGTGCTTTTAATGGAAACAGACATATGAAACAGGCCGTTTAATGGTGGTTACATGAAGAGGCTGCAGCTGTTACACTGAAGGTCCATCAGCTGATTGTCACAGAACGGCAGACAGGAGGTGGAAGATGTGGTAGCTCTCCTCGATGAGGACTGACTGTCACGTAGGACGACATTTAACACATACTGAAGGATGCGTCCGGTGAGGCTGCAAGATGTCCAACGGTGATTTAATGTTTGTCCAACTGTGTGAAGTACATCTTTATTATAATAATGAGGCTATTTAGAGAACATTTTCCTGAAAGTTTACAAAGTGCTTTACAGTATAAACTTAATAAAGGAAGGATAAACCTTTCAGTGCTCACCTGTTTGCTTTGTTTGAACTGAGAACCTGCAGACTGTTGGCGTCTCCAGGACACAGCAAAGGACCTTTAAGTGGTTCCTGCTGTGAGACGACGTCAGAGAATCTTCTCCTTCGGGCATTTATACAAAACAGCTATTGGTTTAATATAACTTGAGTTATTGTAAACACTGGATATTTAAAATCTCCGTATGTTTCTGTGTCTTTAAAAGTGTTTATTTCTTTAACTGCTAGAGGAATAAGAAAGTAAAATGAGTGATCAAATGTTTAAAGCTGAAAGACAAAGACATGAACACAGAGACCTTTATGTGAAAAATGTTTATTCATCAAATGTAAAATGTTGTTGCATAATGTCACAATTCTGTAATAGTCGTTACTTCTCTCGAGATTGAACATTTGATTTGTTTTAAAGTCAAACTAACTATTGATCTTTAAATGGTTAAAGGAATGCAGCTGCAGCTGTCACATAAACACTCTTCATTGAACATGTTTCCATCGCACTGAATTGTATTTCAAGGGAAGTGTTTTTAACCTACTTCTATGTTGGAATGTGTGTGTGTTGCTGCATACATACTGAGGTATGTGTGGTGTGGAGGTTTAACTGAAGCAGAGGAATGGTGTCACATATGTGTTTATCATCTTGCAGCATGACAAACAGAATTAGTGTGGCTCACCAACGAACCGTCCTTTAACATTCCTTCACATGAAGCCCCGACTTCCTCTCCCGACGCCAGCTTCCTGTACAACTGCGACAGTTCGTCGGTTTGTGGCATTTTTGACTCTGGTGTGCAGGGGATATCGAAATCCGACGACACCTGAGACCCCGAGAGCTCCTCCAGCTCCGATTGGCCGTTGCTGTCCTTCGCCTGAGACACAGCATTGGTCCACGAGTCACCTTGTTCCCGCCCCCCCTGCTCTGGTTGGAGGATCAGAGTGTCGGGTAAATAAGAATCCAGGTTCTGCGAGGACTGATTTGACAGCGAGGCGGAGAGGGTCAGACTGAAGTTCTCCTCGTTATGTGGGGTTTCCTCTTCGTCACCGAACAGATCGGGGCTCTGTGAACCAGTCATTTTGGAGGGGGCGGGGCTTGGGACGGAGCAGCAGGAATGTAATTGGCTGTTGAGGCTGTTCTGGCTGTCAATCAGCGTCTCCGTGGTGAAGAAATCATCCCATCTGGGAGGATCGGAGGAGCCACTTCCTTCAGCCTCAATCATCTTCTTCTCGGTTTCTTTTATCGCCTCGTTCACCTCCTCCTTCATCCGTTTTGCATCCTCCTTTCCTTCGTTCTCCTCCTCCTTCATCCGTTTTGTATCCTCCTTTCCTTCGTTCTCCTCCTCCTTCATCCGTTTTGTATCCTCCTTTCCTTCGCTCTCCTCCTCCTCCTCCTGCAGCTGATCATCTTCCTCTTCATCATTCGACTCGGTGCAGTCCACAAAGTTGCAACCACCAGGCTGAGCGTCTGTGACCGTCTCCACCACAGACACAGGGGGCGCTGTCTTCTGAGGACTCTGAGCTTTCACTGAGAATTGCAGATGAAAAAGTAAAAAAGGTGTGAATGCTAATCAATACCTCGTTAATGCTAGAAGTTAAAAACAAGGATGCACCGTTCTGTATGTGTTGGTCCAGCGCCGTCTTCTTCCTCACTGGTGCGAGGTCCCGTCCGTCAAACAGCCCGTCATCGCTGTCTGAGTCTGATCAGGGAAGAACAGTTAATACTTTCAAAACATATGCTGACGATGAAGTTAGTTTAATAAAGCTGATATTGATCATTGATGAAATGATGTATCTTTTTGTAGTCCCTGATCACATGACATCAATATAGTTATGGTATGTTAGGTAATACGTAACAGTTTCTATTTCATGTTTCAACACGGTGGCCTGTAAACAAGCACCACAGCTACAGAGACATTCACCAACGTGTTGTTGTGCAGCGCACCTGTTGTGGTTACACATGCGTGTGTGTGTGTGTGTGTGTGTTAGTCTCACCGTATGTAGGTCGCTCCGCCATGTAGCGCTTGAGGACTCCCAGAGGTTTGTATACGGACGCTGCTTCGTCAGACCGGCTCCTGCACATCAGCATCAACCTGTTCAAACACACCGTGACGACGTTAGTACGGCTGTCCGACAGTTTCAGACACGATTATTAATGTGATCAACACACCAACGTGTGCATAAAACTGGTTACATCTCTTAAATTATTGTTGTATTCAGATAAAATTGCAAAAGTCTACAGAAGGGAGACATTGGCCTCCGATTTTACAGCTTTAAAAGTTGTCATGTGACGTTTAGTGACTTGATTAGCATTCATCATGAGAATGAAAACACTCACATCTGTGTCACCTCAGTCAGCGTCCGACCGATAGGGATAACACTGGGGTAGATGTGGACTGGCTGGAGGTAGGACAGGAAGTGTTTAATCTGAAAATCAAAGAGGAACATTCAACAGACGTGTGGACAAACAAAGACATGACTCATTAAATCTACTTTATTAAAAATGAAACAGTGAAAAAGTCTTGTTGATTATTAGCTGAGGAGAACGCTACAAGCTTCTACTAGACTTGTGTATGTAACTAATATACTGTCCATGTATAACCACAGTCGAGTAACTCTGGTTTAATAATTTAAATAAAAACATGGAGGTACCTCTGAGTAGGAGGAGTGGAAGCTGAAGCAGGCTCGGTAGGAACTGGCTCCTGTTCTGGAAACACAACAAAAAAAGGCGATTTTAGGGCTCATGAACCAAACTTAATGCGATTTATAATGAATTATTTATCTTTTGCCTAAAAGATGAACGTATGTAATCAGACCTTCTCAGAGAGTTAGTACTTCCACAAAGAGACATTTGAACCTGCGCTCACTTTATTATAACTTTGGTTCTCTTCATCCTCTCTCCGAACCACATGGTGGACGGTTTGATGCTGATGATGCGAAGAGGAGTCCCGTCGGGGGCTGTGCAGCCGCACGGCAGCCGGCTGCCTTGTAAAAACTCCTCATCCTGCACACACACACACACACACACACACACACACACACACAAAAACAGGGTTCAATGAAGGAGTTGACGAAGAACAATGGGCGTCATGGGCCTTAAATGCCAGCAGTGGATCGGAGACTTTTGAAAGTAGTTCCGAATTATATCTTTTAGAGATATAAAACCTAAAAACCTTGTTTCCCTGTGCCTACTTGTGCGTGGAAACCCTACGTGTGTGTGTGTGTGTGTGTGTGTGTGTGTGTGAGAGGCCTAGGGGAGGACCTTCGGGTGTCGACACGCGTGGATCTGCGTCCTGCGGTCGGTCGTCACGTAGCTCAGGATCTCCGGCATCTTCTTGAACATCGTCAGACTTCTGACATGGATCTGAGAGCACAATCGTAAACACGCGACATGTAAACTTTTAACACATCAGCGTGTTTATCAGATTACAGCGCGTGGACAGAAACATGTGTGTGTTTTTATTGCGTTACCTGTGTGTTGAACTCCTCTCCCAGGTTGGTAAACAGGTATTCATATCCATACGCAGCTTTACAGTTCAGCCACACGACGTGATATGAACTCTGACTGATCCAGTTTCCAACAAGCTCCGAGATTCCGTTCAGACAGACCTCCTGCGCACACGCACACACACACACACACACACACACACACACACACACACACACACACACACACGCGGTTAAATCTTTCTGTTTTTCTCTGCGAGATGAATCCGATTCAGAAGCTCTCCTCAGTAGTCCTGTTTGGACTCCAGATGTCTCTTTATTGAATCCTGTCCCCATCTCCAAAACGTACCCGAGTGGGAATCTGGTAGAACCGTGGGTCATAGAAAGTAGAGTCCAGATAAACACTCTGAAGATCCTTCACTCTGCGAGAGAAACGAGACACAAGAAAGCTTTAGTGGACAGAACACATAACTCCAGAACGTCTGTGACTGTTAAGAGAATCTACGAGACAGATGTTCATCGGGACCGACCGGCTGCCAGAGTGCAGATGTTCTATTCTGGAGACGTCTCCAGCTGCAAACCTGAAGTCTCCTGTATACAGCACGGCACCCTGGGAACCCTCAAACAGGAACCTGCAGATAGGAACACACCGTTTCACACAGATCGTGTATTTTGTGTATTCCTCGGCCTCTTGAGAAGAGTTAAATGTGTATTTTTAATGCACATTAAAGCCAATTTACTTTGTTACATCATGACAAACTACTGGAGGTCTGAGGAGAGGTTATGAGTGTTTTTATCTTTCAACACTTAGAAACAAACACATAGAAAATGAAGAAGCATTTAAAAATGTTTGGACTTGCATAACAGAGCCGGGACAGTGGGCTGCAGGAAGCAACGTGACCACAATCTCTTCTTTCTGTCGAGGAGATACCAGACAAGAAGATCAGAGACACAACTGACGACGTAAATCTCCAGATCTGAAGGAAACAATCCTCAGGCTTTACCTCTCCGGAGGCCTCGTCAACCAGAGACATCTGAGTGGGGCTCTCCAGCTCTAAGGGAACCTAAAACATATCATCCACCAGTTATTCAGTAGATGATACTCTTAACTACCACACTGCATACACGGAGAAAAAACAAAGTATTAGAGGAGACTTACGATGTATTCCTCCCAGAAAGAGTACTTGGGGTTGCTCAGCAGAAGCTCTTTGGTCACAAAGGAGCAGTAAAGCCTGACTGTACGACTACAAACCAGGAGAGGATTCATTAGTACAGATCGTTACTGTTATTACTGTGTAGAGCATGGAGGCATTGCTCTCACCCACAACTCATAGTTGCTCTCTCTCTACCTACCTACCTACCTCTCTACCCATCTCTGTCTCTCTCTCTACCATCTCTCTCTCTCTCTGTCTCTCACTATTTTACTCCCTCTCTATCTCTCTCTACCTCTCTCTCTCTCTCCCTCTATCTACACCTCTCTCTATCTACCTCTCTCTCTCTCTCTCTCTCTCTGTTTCGCTCTCTTTATTTACCCACCTCTCCATCCATCTATCTCTCTAAGTAAACTTCACCTGAAGTGCAGCTTTCTCTTCAGTATTGGTCCTTTCAGTCCTTTCATGTGATCTGTTAATAAGATAAAAACAGATCAGAGACACGTGTACTCTGTATAACAAGCCTCTGCGAATTAAACATGTTATTCAGTGTTACCAGTCGTTAACAGGCTCACCTTTGTGACAGTGGGAGAGGAAATATGCCCGGGCATGTAAGTTCTCCCGGTCGAACCGGTCCAGAGAAACGGTGGGATACTCCTTCATTCTGCCCATAAACGAACTCATGTTCACGAACCTTTCTGTGGTGTCGTTGTGTCCACAGGAGAGAGCATATCTAGTTAGTTTACGTCGTCTGTTTTGTTTTTGTTTGTCCCGCCCTCCAATTGTACGTCATCTTTCTTCTTCTTCTTCTTTCTTTTTTGAGGTTTATTGGCGGATGGCAAACAATGAATTGGTACATTACCGCCACCAACTGGTCTGGAGTGTGTAGTAAAATAATAAATATAATAAAAGATAAAGAAAATAAATAAGAAACAAAACAACTGGCTCATATTTTCTTAATATTAGTTAGTCTAAGATATTGAAATATTACTTGATAACATTCACTTTTTGAGTTCAGTTCATCTTCTTCTTCGTTTCTTTTTAAGGGCAGTTCAGATGACTTTAAAGGGTATTAGCGCCATCTACTGTCCGTTTATTCGCCTGTTTTCTTCTAACTGACTAAACCTCATTAAAAATATGTTTCTACACTTTGCTTTTGTCTTATTGAATCCGTGTTAACTTGACACATGCTTATTTTTTCTAATAATAATAATAATAATAACTTTATTTATATAGCACCTTTAAAAACAGAGTTTACAAAGTGCTCAGGGAGACAGTTTATATGATAAAAAAAGAATATATATATATATATATATATATATATTTAGTACAATCAACAAATAAAAATAAAACAGAAAAGCCACGTCAAAGTTTATGGATATTAAGGTGTTCTGGACTCCATCCACTAATCATTATGATAATATAACGGTAGCCTGTCAACACACACTATACTAGGCACAGATACATCCCCTTTGAAGATGAAAGTGACCTCGTTGTTTTGTTTCCAATTAAGGATTTTTTTGAAACTTCACATGATTATTCTATAAATGATGTTGATTTTGTAGTTAAAGATGTCATGAACAAGTTAATACAACTACGTCGTGTTTGCCTGAAGTTGTGTGGATTGTTTAAACGAGATCAATTCTGTGCGTTAAGTAATAGTTTTAATTACATTATTACAGTAACATTTCTATTTTACCATATTTAGCCATGGTTTAATGAGGAGAGATTCCACGCCCACTCACTGTAACCCATCATGACCTGTTTAAAAGAAGTTTTTGTTGGATTAAACACTACGCCTGTCACACTTTCCTCATGTGATGTAACATGAGGGGGGAGATTATCCATGGAACCCACTCGCTCTCACATCTGAGGGAACATATTGCTTTACTTAGCTGCTTGGAAAATGAGTGATTTATGCTTTATTAACTAGTAATTGAACCCCTTGGTGCTGCTCAGGGAAATATACAAAGCTAAAGGAACTAGACCCTGCTGCTCCACAGACAGCAAGGCAGGTGAGTAATGCTAAATTGCTTTATACTTATGCTTAAGTAAGGTTACAGTCTGTTTTCAGAGAATGTATGATATCCTCACACCAAATTCATGACGATTTAATTTAATTTTTGAAGTTACTAGGAAAAAAATGCACTAAAACTAACTCAAACTTGTACTTTTCTGTTTTAATGTGCGGCATGTAAACACTTACTAATAAACGAAAATCTGTGCAGTATAAATACACTGTGCAATACTACAACTAGTCAACTATTGTCTGTAGATATAATATTTTTGTTGTTGTGGATTTTTTACTTTTTTACTTATTTCTTTTTTACTTATTCTTTTTTACTTATTCTTTACTGTTTTATTATTATTACTTATTTACCTATTTATAATACTTGTTTTGATCTTGTTTTTTTACTATGTCTCTATATATATATATATAATAAATTAGCATATTAGCATCCGTTGTTAAATGTCCTGTTTTTGAATGGAGTCTGGTGTGAACCTCCCGTAGGCCTCAACCATATAAACCGTACTCTTGCTGTCGGCTCAACAGTAATTGAACTCTCCTTTAACAGCTTGAACCGAAGCTACCGGGCTTATTCCCTTTAATTCATACTCGACCCTATTATGTCTGAAGTTACACCGGAGTCAACACGGAGGTTTATAAGGCAAGTGGGCCTCTAGTAGAGTCAGATAGTAGAAAAACGTTGGTCTTTAAAATGTACTGATTCTTCTCTGGGTGGTTAGCTTAGTATTGTTAGCAGCCTGCTTCACAGTTGGCCTTGTAAGTTAACGTCAGCTAGCAGTAACGTAAAGTGAAGGTATAAACGTCAACGTTTAGCTTATCGTTTATAGTCCTCGTTTACCGGGGTTGCAGTATTAATAACATGTGGTTAGGTGGCGTTAACTCACACGGCTATTTGTGTTAAAGTTAAAGGTGTTTGCTTAGCTCTTAGCTAGCCAGGTGAGTTATTTACTAACCATGGTGTTAGGTGTTTGTGCAGATTTTATCTCTTAACTTCCCAACAACAAGCTGCTAATGTTTTGACTGTAGCTGCACAGTATATATACATTAATGTTAGTTTAACCCATCGGTATCTGCTCATGAGACTCTATTCTTGCCTCTACTTTAGTCACAGTGCTCGGTACTGACTGTCACTGGAACCAGATGGGACTGACCCAATTCTGTGTGCATTAATTAAGAAACAAAGAGTATATAAGTCCTTGAAAAAGGCATTCAATTATCTTAATTGCAGCTTATTTTCAACAAAAACCTTTTTATCTGGAGCTGAAAGAAGTTAATTAACCAATTAGTCCATCAACAGACAACTAATAAGCAACTATTTTGACTATTTGTGTCATTTTTAACTTATACATTACAAGAAATCAATGCTTTTGGAGTCATAATTGTGATTTAAATAGATTACTATTATAGCAAATTGAGTTTGGGGATGTTTTTCTTAAAATCTTCTGTAATAGGAAGCTGAATATCTTTGGGTTGTTGGTTGTTGGTGTGACAAAACAAGACATTTTCTGCATATTTCGCTACTGTTGTGACATTTTATAGATTATCTGAAATTTAAGGAAATAATTGATATGTTGAGCAACAGATTAAGGTTAACAGTAACTTTTCTAAAGCTTACCTATCTGCCCAAATGGACATATTCCCCTTTGTATTCACTTTCTACACTAATCTGACTGAATAAATAGCTTTGTTTCCTAGATTTGTTTAGTTTAAACGGTCTCTGGAGGTGTCGTTACACCGGTTTTCACTGTGAAACAAATATTTTTCTTCTTAGCTCAGTCTTGTTTTTAAGGAGCCTAGTGAATCACAAGGCTCTGGAGGAATGTCGCAGTAGGACAGTTTTATTCTAGCTCATAATGAAGCTCTTGCTTTCCACACTGTGTTTTTCTGCTGAGAAAGCTCAGCGAGGGGGGTTTGTTTCCTTTCCTGCTGCCTTCTGACCCAGAAAGGAAGCAGCAACAGCTGCTGCCGTCTTTGTGATAACGGGTGTGAAACTCTTGTTGGAGGAATATATTTTAACCTCTCTCTCGAGGTGTTGTTATGGACTTCATAAGCCTTCCTAAAAAAAGGCTTTTGTTGTGTCCGAACATGAGTCGATGCCTCCGGCTGTGCAAACTGAAATGGGAAGTGCGTCAGTTTGTAACAAAGCTGAGCCTAAACTTTCCCCTGTCTTGATATTGCTGTCTGCGGTCTAGTTCTGTCATTCCTGGAATTCTGAGAGTCGTGAGCAGACAAAGAAACTTTTTGGCAATATCAAAAATGAGGATGTAGGAGCACATTTATTGCATTAAATCAGGGCTCAAACTAAAAACCTCGGGCTTGTGAAAAGTACTTTTACATCCTCTGAAAGTTGTTCAGGTAAAAAATAGTTCCCAGATCAGGCAGTGAAGGACTGCTCCTGTCTCTCTCTTTAAATACATCATCTATCATATAATATAAGGTCTCTACCTTAATTAGAAACCGAAACAATCTCCTCACAGAGTCTGTCGTCTGCTCTGGAGCTGGTGGACGGATAGTTTTTGTAGAGTAAGTACATCAAACAACACGGAGACGTGCGTAGCATTTCTAATGTCAGATAAGGTTAAGAAATCTGAAAAATACCCATCGTAAGTTCCCAAAGCCCAGTTTTGCGCCATCAACTGTCCAAACCCTAAATATATTCAGTTTGTCACATAAATACGTCATATATTTGACATCTGAGAGGTTGGAACTGGAGAATGTTTGTGGAGTTTTTGCTCAAAAAGTGAATCAATCATCAAAGTAGTCGCTGAATCAAGAGTTTAACAGAAAAATAGAGTTTTACATTGGAGCAGAATCAGAGTTTCATATCAGCTTCCTCTTTTAACCGCTATCATCATCATCATCACTACTCTCTTCTTCTTCTTTAGAGATGGAACGGACTTGTGGTTGTTATCACACCTGCAAATAGAGGAAGTGAAGCCGAATGAGCTGCAATAGAAATCTGTTTTCTGTGGTTTATTAATAGTTAGAGAAACTGTTGATTTATAAAAACACGATGCTGTAACTTTGAGTGTCTTTTATATATTTATTGTGTTTTCTAAAGTTATAATGCCGTTATAGTAGATGTGGAACTCTAAATTCTTTCTTCATTACTTTTTATTTGGATACACTTTATTTACTACTGAGGTTCACGCGAAATATTAACATTTAACCAGCATGTGGTCCAGGTTCTTGTCCTAAACCAGGATGTGGTCCAGGTTCTAGTCCTAAACCATTTGTTACTTTTGCACATGTTTGATGTTGTGGTGAGAGACTTTGATGTTGTGGTGAGAGACTTTGATGTTGTGGTGAGAGACTTTGATGTTTGGTGAGAGACTTTGATGTTTGGTATGTTTGGCTTTCATTTCCTGTTGTGATATATTTTGTTTTGTTCCACAGGTAAAGTAACTAACCCACCTGGCAACCAGTCACCCTCCATCATGTCCCCATCGGTCTGTTGAGCCCGACAGCTTCCTGAGGGAGGCGGCTAGGAGCTAGCTCCCTAGTTAGCTTCGATAACATGCAGCACTGCCGGCCCGGCGTCTCCAGGAGGCGGCGCTGCTGAGAGGCGAGTGTTTGGTGTCTGCCGAGCCGGGCCATGGACGACTTCTCCACCAGGACGTATGGCACCAGCGGCATGGACAACAGGCCTCTGTTCGGGGAGACCTCGGCACGGGTAGGAGCCTGGAGGAAGTGGTTTAATGCAGAATTTAATTCACAATCTCACAGCTAAATGAAAATGTTTTTGTTTCAACTCTTTCTTCGTCTTTTCCCGCAGGATCGGATCATCAACCTGGCGGTGGGGGGGTTCACGTCTCTGGTTGTTTTAGTGAGTACAAAACTGATCTTCAAACACTTTCTTCCACTTTTAGCTGTTTTTAACGACTGAATTTTATCTGTTGCTTTCGTATCACACGCGAGCACCAACGAGCACAAAGAGCACAAAGAGCACAAAGAGCCAGTCATAATAAGTAGCTCTGAGCTGCACCATAACTTTGAAAATGCAAATATTGATGCATTTATTAGCTTCTACTTGGAATGCGTTTATTCTTTTTATTTACCATTAGACAGGCTGTGTAGGTTCTATTTAAGTCTAGAGCGGTTATAACTGATCTCACGTTTCTCCTTTACAGACATTAAAAGTCTCACATGCTAATATTATGCTTCTTATCGTGTGGCATGAACACATCAAGGGCCCTTTGAATAGTCATTTTCCTCATGGTTTACTTTCATTTAGAGGCTGCAGTTTAACAGTTTGAATATCCAGTTCAGCTGGAGTTTAGTTAATTGAACGTATTTAATGTTTAAGTGTCTTTAACGTCCTGCTTTGTCTTCCAGGTGACCGTCATCAGTTCCTTTGTGTTCCCCTCGTTGCCTCCACGGCCGCTTAATGTCTTCTTTGCCGTGTGCATCCTGTTAGCATGTGGCTCCGCTATAATGCTGGTAAAGCCATTATTATTATAAATTCACAACATTTATAATTACTTAAGAGAGTAGGAGTGCAGTAGAACAGCACCGACGTTATTGCATTAGCTGATGTTATACTGACCTTTTTATTATATATAAGGAAAAAACTATATTTATGTTTCTCCCCATCAGATATTCTGGTACCGGCAGGGCGATCTGGAGCCTAAATTCAGGAATCTGATCTACTACATGCTGGTGTCCATCGTGCTGCTGTGTCTTTGTGCCAACCTCTACTTCCACGATGTCAGGTAGAGATGGGGACACAAGGAGGAAGAGGAGGAGGAGGAGGAGGAGGAGGAAGGGAAGACATGGCCTTGAGACATGGAAGGACTACGTGGAGAGACGGACTCCTCACACACTTGATGGAATGATTTACACATCTGACCTGCAGCAAACTTTTCTTGGACCAAAACCAGTGAAGCTTAATGGTTCCTGTGGGATGAAGACTGTCAGACTTGGTGCTGAAACATAATGAACTACACACACACACACACACACACACACACACACATGATGCACTGTTAGAGGCCATGAATCTGCCTGGAGGATGAAACAGGTGTGTTTACATGAACGTAAACTTCATTATTTACAGTCGGATCCTCACAATAACGAGCTCTTAAACATATTCGGTTTGGTTTGACGATGCAGCAGTTAAAGGAAACATCTGCCCTTTTATCCCGTTAGTGTCGGCCAAACTTCTTCTGAGTTATGATGCAACATCCTGTATCTTCTGTCTAACCGAGAGACGGGCAACGCCTCCTTTAAAGGTGAAGTGGTAAAGCGAAGAAGCCACACTGCAGGTTGTAGATAACAGAAGTATACGTCCCAGTTCTGTACTACATACGACTACTATAGAGTATGTACTACCACTTGTACACTGTTTTTCAGTTGTACTCGATGTGATTTACTGTTGCGTACCAGCAGGAGTTCATGCACATCGTCTGCACATAGATGTCAAACTTCTCCACCAGAAAGCAAAAGATGTAATACTTTTTTGCAGCCGTTAGCAGTGCAATGAATTGTGGGCATTATTAAGCATTTTTTGTATATACTTAATGTAGAATGAACTGTGGAATTGGGACACAGTCAAACTCCATTCAAGCTTTATTTATATTCAAGATCATAAACGACAAAGAGATATCATTATAAAGAATAAAAGCCAATGCAACTCTCCGATTTGGTGGGTAAATGAATTATGATTAAACTAAAATACAATTATAAGTATTCTCTATGCAACTTCTATTGTTCTATCTTCTATTTTGTTATAAAACGGTCCAAAACTCAACGAATCGACGTCCAATAATGACCCCAAAAAAAGGAGAATCAGATGAAAAGGTTCGGCGTTGGAGATACGTTTTACGGGAATTTAAAACATCGTAGGAAAAACAACTACGAATGAGGATAATATCCAGAGGAAAAGACATTAAAGCTGTAAATTCACAGGAGAACGGATGCTTTTGATTAATAAACCGTCTTTAATTACTTTATACTTTACTTTATAATTTTATACTGTTCAGATTTGAACAGCGTGGATGTTTCCTTTAACCAGGATGTAAATGATGAGCATGTAAACACACCGACTGTGAACTGTAGCACAAACGCAGCAATAGCACAAGCAGCTTCAGGCGTCTGTGGCAAATATATGCAAAACAGTTGGAATGTTTTTATTTCTTCTTTAGCTTATCTGATTATCATTTAATTCATTTTCCACATCAAGTCTTTTCTTTGAGGATTTCTTAAATGCTGCACCAAAGGAAGGTTGACTTGCACGTTTGTGTAAGACACACACACGCGCACACACACACACAGCTGTAGCACGAATGAATGGGAACAATTCACACCGAAGCCACACGTCACTGCACAACAGATCTTTACAGGGACCGTTATACGTTTCTATATCACGTCGATGTGTCCGCCATCGAAACGTTGCACTAAATAATTCTGCCATTCACAGCTCTGAGCCTGGGTTTCCAGAAGTAGCTTTAAGTTTGCTTTCTTTTTTTATTTTGTAGATCCGTTTAGCTCGGCACATTCACCGTGTGAAAGAGAGGTTTGGTTTGCAGACACTGTTTACATATGTAGCTGCTTTAGTGATCCTGAACGAGTGAAACAGAGAAGATGAAGTAAAGCAGGACTTTGTCTGCAAAAGGCATCTTTGCACTTAAGTGGAGTGAACCGACTGGACTTTTCAAACTGGAATCTAACAGTTTTAAAGTCATAATTGATTTATCTGGGGGTTGTTTTCTCGATTAGGTGTTTGTATGTTAGAATGCTCATTTTGGTGGTTTAATCTGATTAATCTTCTGTCCATTCCCTGATTTAACTAAACGTTTAAGCCCAAAAAGAAGTAGAGTTAATCTCTATCGCTGCCAAAAATCTAATTCTGGTGTCTGGTTTGGTCTCAAAGTTTCACACAATCTTAAAGGAAGAGGCTCACATTATTCTACATGTCAACAAATCCCAGTGTCAGTACGCGTCTCAATATTTAAAAAAGGTAAAATATAGAATAAGACCAGACTCTTCCTTTAAGCTCGTCTCATCTGTTCTTTTTGTTTCTGCAGTAAACCGACGACAGTGACAAACTAAACCCGTCTCAACTCGCCACGACTTTAGGATTGTGAAAGCCGTGCGTTCCTTTGTTTTATGGAATAAATAATTATGTACCCAGACTGCCTCTATACTTTCTTTTTTCCAATTGTGTGACTGAGTTTTCAGACTCTTTGGTGAAAGTGCAAATGACCAACTTGGGTTATCCAATTAGAATTTTATCCATAAATGTATATAAAATATGTTTAAGTGTTTTCCCACATAATGACTTACTGTCAACTATCTCAGACTTTATCTCTTATGTGAAACTTGATTAAAAAAAATGTTCTCATGAAAATAAAACAAAAGACCCGATGAAGGCAGTGAATGTAAAGTTATTACAATTCAATGTTTGTATTCAGTAGATCTCCTGAGAAAAGATGGATTATTAAGACCTCTGAGAAACTTTACAATTAACTGTTTAATTTTGGCTGAAGGACAACATCAATAATTTGGTTAAATAAAATCAGTCACAACCATTGTTACAATGTCTCAGTTTAACACAAAGCACTCTTCATGAGTTCATTTATTTGGCATTTTAAAGATATATCTGAACTTCAGTCAATCAAAATATTTGCATAAAACTCCACAGTTCAGCTTTAAAAAAAAACAAATCAAAACATTTAACTTCAGAAACGAGCAAAAAAAATAAAGTCACTAAAATTTAGTCAGCTGCAAAAAAAGCCTGTTAGAATAGAAACCAACCACAGGCTGACGAAAACTTGATGAACAACATCAAACTGAACGGATGTTCCCCAACAAGTGAAGAGTGGTGATCTGTAATGTCCTCCAGAGGGCAGCAGAGTCAACACATCTCTGATGAAGAGCTGGACGTTGAATCTTCATGTTGGGAAACAGTTCAGTTCACTTTGAAGGGAGGTTACATTTGTACTCGTGAGTGGAAAAGAAACGTGTCGAGGTTCCATACGCTCACAGGTGTGGTCATCCTGTATGGACCCGAACAGTAAGCTACCAAACGGCTGTTATGACTATTAAACGAATAGGAAGTGTAAAAGGTGAGGTTGTGACGGTGTGCTCAGACGAAGTCCCTGGACCTCTTGATGGCACAGCAGAGCATCATGCTGAAGATCATGCCGAAGATCTGAGGAGGAGGAATAGAAAGGGTTAAAGCCACATTAGAGTTACTGTATTAGCTGAAACTAAGAGACTCGAGATAAACTAGGTCCGTCCTCCACAGACTCACCATGATGACACCGATACCGATGCCGACCCCCCCGATGATGTGCAGCTTGTTGTTGAACATCTGGTCGATGACGGCTGGACAGGTCTGAAGGAACAGCAACAGGAAGAAGGAATGTTTGGGAGTGGAATTAAATGCATTTTATAAGAAGCAGCAGGGGGCGGGAAAAAAAACAGGAAGTCAAAGAATCCGTTAGATCGGATTTGTAGGCAACTTGTAGTTCAAAGACCACATTTGGATTAATTTATACGCGTTTAGGAGGTTAAATATATATTTATGTGTAAGTGTGTCCATTGTATTCCATCCTGTTCTTTTTACGTTTGATAAGTGCTTCAGAAATAACACATTATAAAAATGCATAAAGAAGATATGTTTTTAGATTAAACCTTCGTTTACACAACAATGACACAGATAATTTGGATTTTCTACTAATAGTTTTGTTGTCAAAACTGAGAGCCAATCAGATCTTCAATCAGGTGACCCACGAGTTCATGACGTCGGAGAAGATCGCGATCAAGTCTGAGATGCAAATCTAACCGGCACGTTAGTGTGGACCGATCAGGACCGGCTCACCTGAAACCAACCATGTGACATGAGACTCCTACACCGTCTGTGTGTTGCCTTACCGTGGTGACGAGGATCTCCAGTCCTTCCTGCTTGGGGCAGATATCTTTGGCGGCATCAAACACCGTCCCCGCGGGACCGCAGCAGTTGAGCTGTGAAGAGGAAACAAGAACAAGAGGAAATACAGGTGTAAGATTAGCACTGAACACAAAGAACCAGCACTAGTTCTGCAGGAATTTGACCGAAAACCAAATTATTGGAGGAATTGAAATGTTGCCCTGATGATGGTGATGGGTATTAAGTTGTTGCAATAGACCATTTGTGTGTGTGTGTGTGTTCTCACTCCATAGTGGATGAGACGCAGCGTCTCCTTCAGCGCTTCCTGTCTGGTGTTTTTGTAGTTGTCGTAAGTCTGCTTGTAGAACTCTGTGACGTCGTCCACCACCTGAACACACAAAGAAAAACACTGCAGACTCTGCCAGCTGACAACAGAATGGGTGTGTGTTGTGTACCCTGTCCTTGTTGGAGAGACCCCAGATCCCAGCAGCCACTTCCACAGCGAAGATGAGGAGCAGGAAGAGGAAGAACTAAACGGGAAAACAAGAGAGTCAGAACTGTACTTTACGAGCTCCGGAGTCACCTGGTTTTGACATTTAGTGTCGATACATTTTCAAAAATACTCTGTTCACGTGCTGAACATGAAGAGTGACTCACCAATCCCAGCATGCACGGCGACTCTTTAATGGCGCCGCAGCATCCCAGGAAGCCCACGATCATCATTAGAGCGCCCGCCGCAACCAGGATGTACACGCCTACAGAACGACACGATATCGTGGTGACGGTGTTTGTTAAAGCATCAGAATACTTCTGCCGTGTTGTTGTACTTCCCTCTAGTTGTGGTTATGAATAATATTCAGCGAATCATAAATGACTGTTTCCAAACATCTACTGTAAAAACTAATTAGAAAAATGATTTCAGCATCTTTACTGTCCTTTGATGCAGTTTTCATGCTGATGAATCATGTTTTAAAAATGAACCACACAAACATTCCTCCTCACAAGCAGTTATTAAGATGTTTGTCATTTCAAAACAATCCTCTGTCACCTCACTGCTCAGAGGATTGTTCACTCATCAGTTTGATGGAAGCGAAACACAAAGAGTGACGGGAGGGAGGAAGGGAGTCTCTTCCTGCGAGCTCCTCGGAGAACACAGAAGTGGAGAAACAAAGACGACCCTGTGAGGAGAAGAATGAAAGCCGTGTGTCGTGTTGACCTCAGCTGCCTCTTCTGCTCGTTCCTGTCGTAGCGCTACCGTCGCATCTGATCTGATAACCAACTGTGCACATGGTTATTGGGTCAACTCCTGTTTAACATGTAAACGGGAGATGTCAGAGAGACATCTCGTGTGGAAACGTGTGCCTAATAGAACGAGTTTAGGTTTAATAATAGGCTCGAGTGGCTGAGGCCTTACCGGTGAAGAAGACTGTAGGCGAGTCATCGCCTTGAAACAGTCCCTTGGTCCTGGAGTCAAAACGCAGCCAAAGGCCCACAGCCAGCACCCCGGTACCTGCTAGCTACATGAGACACAGAGAATGACAGGGTCAAACTACATTCATGGGATCACCAAAGTTACTTCCATTCCTCCCGTGAGGAGCGTGATGGTCTGTATCAAGACAAACCATCTCCTGCAATAGCTGGTGAGATATTTCAGTCTGTGGAAAACACTGTGCTGGATTCCACTGAATGCTTCACATTCCCAACACACACACAGTCCCGAATACCAAACCCACCCACTACAACCCGATCAACAAGCACATCTTCTAGTACAATAACACGTCTTTGTTTAACCAGGACATTGTTTTATTAAGTTATACATTGCAAAGTAATGGTGAGAGTCATCTTGTGTATGTACATGACTCTTCCACGGCGTTAACCTCAGTAATAACCCACCCAAATAACTTCCATAATGTCCGACGCCGTAGGTCTGACGTCTGTGTTGTTGTGCAACAGGAGGCGTGAGGATTCTGCCTCAACACGTCCTCTGTCACAGTCTGATGACCATGAACCACTGGACGGACGGACACATCACAACAATGTGCACCCACCTCAGCGTAGGGGTGTAAAGGCTTAATATTCTGTTTCATGCAATATATGCATATAGCACGAAGACCTTTCACTCCGACAGTGAAGCAGTGGAGTCTTTTGGATTAGTACTTGATATAATCTTGTTTTCATTACGTCCTGGCTGTAAAAAGCTTGCGTGCTGAATGATGAATTTATTGGTGTGAACATACGGTAAAAGCACTCAGGAGAGTTGTGTGTTTGTGTAGTCAAAGGCAGCGATGAGTCGTCTTACAGATGGAAGACAACACCCTGGAGGTTCACATTAACCACAAGAAGACACTCTCTCTCTGCAGCACCAGTAAAAGTGCCAAGGCAACAGAGAAATGAATTATTGCTGACATGTTTGGCATCTTTTATGAACTAGTTATAGAGTTTCTTGTAAATGAAATATCCTCCAAGACAATGTGGACCGTGGGAAATGTAGCCTTTTAGAACAAGGAACATTTTATAATAAATAAACGATGTAATCTGACGTTTACGCCTCTCTCTCTTCGGTTATCTCATGTGTCCACTCATAGTTGTCTGTGCAATCATTACACACTGACGAGCAGTTAAAAGTCATTAAACAAAGACGTAACAGTCACTGTGAACAGGTCATAACGGTAATGACACAGCAGGGAGTGTGCTTATTTGGGGATAAATCTCTGTGTTAAAGAACTTCGAGTGACTTCACACCACCTCTGGGATTACAAACAATAATTTCCCTTCTAGTTCTACAGCGGATGTCAAACCCTCGTTTATCTTTTGGGATCTGGTGATTGAGACTAAATCAAATCTACCGAGAACACCATGTGTGTTGTAATGTCCCGACAGTCTGCCTGACAGCAGGTGAATGTAATCAACCAATCCTGCTCTATAGTTTCCACCGGGAGCACATTTTCAGCCCCAAAAAGTTCAGGAATTGATTCATGAATTCAGCTGAAGATAAAGTTTGTAACCCTGAGAGAGCCAGCTCAAAATAAGGCTCAAAACTTTCTACAAAAGAAGTTTTAAACTGGATTTTAACCATAATTTAAACACAAGTTAAGCAGCCTCTCCCCTCAAACAATACACACTCCTCAAACTAACACTTGTTTTAACTTCCCTCCTCTTACTGAATCACATTTTAAAAGCACCAGCTAAATATCCTCAGAGCCTCACATATCATGTGTAAGTGACACTACGTACCCAGAAGAGAAAGTTGAACACAAACACCATGTATTTGATACACTGCAGAGCTCCCATGGCTTCAAGATTTAGAGGTTTTTAAGAAGACAATCCAAACGCAGAGTGTCCTTCTCTGAGTTACACCGTCTTCTTTGTGGGAGGACAACAAATAGGGCCGGGTGAGAAGTATTTTTTGGGAACCACACCCTTGCATGGCTCACCTGGGTATACTTAGAGAGAGGAAGGGGGAGGGACTGAGTGGAGGAGGGAGGAGGAGTGGGAGTGAGGAGGTGTGGGAGGGGTATTCTCTTCCAGCAGAGGACCTTGAGGTTTAAATCGGAGCAGGTGAATGCAATTATCAAGCAGGTGAGTGACTGAGAGAACTCAGGATACATTTTTAATATTTAGAATTATTCCATGATATTACATTAAAAATGACTTGATTACTGTCACATCACCAGAGAAGACAGAGAGGGTATACTGATCATTGAATTATTTATGAATAACTAAACTGGTATGGTAAAAAAACAATATTCTGAGACCAAACAAGAAGCATAAAACAATGTGGATGAAGAGAAATGAAGCTTCACAGGTGTGTTCACACACACACACGCACAGAGACACACACACACTGAGGTAACTGGAGCTCCTCTCCCAGTAGACCCAGTGAAACCAACAACACTAGCTTTGTGTCCGAGCTGCTAAAGCCTCCCCCGTCTCTCACTCCCTTCGCTCTCTCTTCTCTGCCATGAGCTATTCTGTTTGGCGAGTTGGCAGCGTTCTAGTTTAGATATGACAATTCCCACATAATTGAGATATGCATGATTGCATAACCAACTACTATATTATAAATGAGTGGTCAGAGAGACAATAAGGGAAATAGGAGTGGGCAGGAAGTCAATCAAAATGTCTCAGTTTTTAGAGTCAACATCTTCGACAACATGTTAACATCTGTGTTAATGTATTTACAGCTGCATGTTGTCCGTCCTACTGGCTCATGAAGCCTAGCTCGTCATATTAATTAAGATAAAAGTCCACCAACTGTGAGACTATGGTGTACACAATGCTGACATTGATTGTGGCAAAATGTTTCTCGTGATGAAATGTAAATACTTACAATCAATAATTTGGGAGTTGTCTCGGTCAGAACAACACAATATTGTAATAAAACACTTAATAAGAATAAAGACACATGTTGGTCAGTGTGTCTAGATTAGTTGAACTGAAATAATATCTTAAATTCCTCATGAATTAAATACATGAAATTGAACTAATGTCATGAAAATGTCCACTTTACAACCAAGAAGAAATATGGTCAAGTTTAGTTAAAGCAGTTCAGTATTAAATTGATGTACACATTAATGCATCAATGATTATGATCCAATAATATAATATATATATCATTATGAGTATATATATATATATATAATACCAGTCTGCATAATGACTACTCTTACTTTTGGTACTTTAAATATTTTTAAGTACAAGTAACATTAGAAGTAACGTTCGGCTAGCAAGTAAAGTTAACGTAAAATTTAATTGAAATAACTTTACAAGTACCTCAAAAGTACTACTTAAGGACATGTAACGTTACTTCCACCATACCTTAAACAGAACTACTATTATACATATACATTTGTTGACAATATTGACCTTTACATTGGAATTAAATAAACCGTGTGAGCAAGTGTTAGCAGAAAACGTTAGTTTAAACTAGCTTACTTTTGTCAATATTATATTAAATATCTTAAAATATCTTACCCAGAAGACGAAATTAAAGATGAAGAGGGCGTACTTGACGCACACCTCCCAGCTGCTAAGAGCAGTCATCACTACTGTGTGCCTTAACGAAGGTAGATCGAAATAAAACTGTCAAATATCTGGAAAATCTCTCGCTGTTCTTGCGTTATTTTCGGATCTGAAACGTTCGGCTGGGTTCGGCTGCGTTCGATGGTTTCCGCCACTTGTCGGTTGGGTGGAGCAGGGTTGGACAGAGCTCGCGCGCTCAACAGATGTCGCTCTGCGTGACCGCGCGCGCGCGTGCCCGATCGGCTGGGAGGCAACAGAGAACGTCAACGGCTGAACACCCACAGAAATAGACAGAAGCATAGTTTCCTTTCTTTCTTTCTCTCTTTTTCTCACTCTTTGCTTCTTTTGTTCCTCTTAGCTAACCACACGTCCTTTGATGAAGAAAAACAATGTAATAAATCGAATACAAATCGAATAAAAACCATAAAAGTAACAGAGAATAGGCCAAAATACTGCACAAGTGAACTAGGAGTGAATACATATAATAGTATTGAATTATAATCATTGATGCATTCATGTGTACATCACTTGTGAATTTCATACCAGCATTACTCTTATTATTATTGTTGTTATATACTTATGATTACAAGTTATTGAATCTGAGAACCTCTGAAATGAAGTTAAGTAGTTTTATGACAGTTGTTTTGTACATTAAGATAGATGTATATGTGACTTGATGATGCATTTAATAATATGTTTTTTAACGCTGTGTGTGTGTGTGTGTGTGTGTGTGTGTGTGCGCGGCTATATTCTCTCGTTCTCTTTGGTGGAAATGTGACTGTTTTTCTTCTTCTGCAGAACAAAGGCGACAGTGTGATCGGCCAGCCCACGACTTTTGTTTGCAACTGCACACAAACACACACTGATGATGAGGATGAGGATGAGGAGGATGAGGAGGATGGGGATGAAGGAGCACAGCCCGACCCAGCTGACCAGAACCGAGGGAGTAAAATAATTCTAAACATCTTTAACAAAACTGAGTAAAAGCTTCCAGAAACATTTGTCTTCAGCAGTATGAGACAGACATATGGGGCTGATGTGCTTTTTAAATATATATATATATATATTGATTTAACTTTAACTTGATTTTGTGTGTTAAAAAAAGCTACTTTAGATGCATTTCCAAAGACTCTGAACAGGTGTAACTGTTTATGTGTAAAAGAAAGGTTTGGTTTGTTGTTGTTAAGAATGACTGCAGCCTCCTCCTGTAAACCCAGAGTCTGTGTGTCTATGGTGTCTTAGTCTTCTTACTGAGCTGGATAAAAGACTGAGTCTGTTCCTCTGTAAAACAACACTGCCTTCATCTCCTGCACGGGGTGTGTGTGTGTGTGTGTGTGTGTGTGTGTGTGTGTGTGTGTGTGTGTGTGAGTGTGTGTGTGTGTGTGTTTTGGTTTGCAAAACAACTTGGCGTTCATCTGAGCATCCATTTACAAAGCTCCCCTTCAAAGCTGCAACCAGCGTCTCTCTCTCTCTCCCTCTCTCTCTCTGTCATTCTCTCTCTCTCTCTCTCTGTCATTCTCTCTCTCTCCCTCTCCCTCTCATTCTCTCTCCCTCTCTCTCACTCTCACTCTCAGAAAGGGAGGAAGTTGAAGCAGAGGAGGAACAAGAAGACATTTTGCACATTTTCAAAATGATTCCAGGTTTCAACAGCAAAGTGTGTCATTAAATTATTCAGTATTTACAAACATAATTTTAATAATATCCATAACTATTATATATAAAGTTATTTCTTACATTTGAGGGTAAATAAGTTAGCCTAGTCAAGTCATTTAGAAGCTACCACCCTCTAGCGTTAACATTTCTGCTTATCTGTCGGCCACAGCACGCACGTATGTGACGTTATGTGTTCCTTTATAAAACTGTTGCCTGACAGTTTAGAATCATTGTTTATAGAAGACTCTGATAGGGTAGATGTTTACAAATGGTCACTGTTAATGTACAATCATGAAGAAATGCATGCTGGGTATAGCTCCCGACTAGCAGATTTATTTATTGCAATTCACTTTTGCATGGAACTTGCATATGCATCAGGTGGCGGTACTGTGTGCCACATGTCTGACAGTAGACTTCCACCTGCCGTCATACCACTCTGATTCACCTTTTTCTACAAAGATTATAATTTGAGTTTACACCTGTTGAATAAATGTAAAAAAAAATAACTTATCCAACTCTTTGTCAGCATTACATGTTTTAAATGAGAGTAACCAGACGTTTCTTGGTAATAGATCAGCATAAAACTATAAAAAAATCCTCCCGTGGCACAAACATATCTGTACCGGTTTTTCTATATTATGCATGTATATTTATATATTGTTTATGTATTTATGAACTGTAAACTTGTTATGAACTTAATCAGAATCAGAACCGTTTAATTGTGAAAGTACATTGCACATACAAGGAATTTGACATGGTGGATGGTGCATGACAACAATCAACACAAAATACAAGACATGATTTAAAAATAGAAACATATTGAAATGTACAATAAAATGTAAAAATATGGTAAACAAACAAATAGGAATATATTAAAAAAGTATATTATTAAAGTGTCATGTGCAAGGGTAATTAATAAAGCTTTGTTTGAAATAAATACTAAATAAAACCTTTAACTATGGTTCGACATTTCACCATGAAAGGTGTAAACAGTTATTCAGTTGCCTGTTTTTACATGAGGTAATAACACAGTATCTTCCAGCCAATCAGCAGCGTTCCTCCTCACTGCGCGGACCAATCAGAGCGCTGTGCGCACTGACAGCGCGAGACAGCAGCAGTTTACCTGCTCAGTTGTACTTTAACGGGACGGGAAGAGCCACAAAGTTGTCACCAACTGCTCGGTACCAGTACCGGCATGGCTCGGACCGGCTCCGGTGCGCTCCTTCTCTCGCGCCCAAACATCAAGCTGGACTCCTTCCTGAAGCGGAACACGGAGCGGACGGTGTACGAGCGGATCCGAGCCCACGAGCCGTGCGTGGTGCTATCGGAGACCATCAACAAGGCTTACATGCACGTGGTTCTGAGCGACGAGCGCGTGTACCTCACTGAATACCCGCCGCGCACGCTCACCGAAGCCTTGAGCTTCAGGTGTGTGCGTGACATCGAGCTCGTGAGTTCAAAGAATGGTGTTCAACTTTTTAAATGTTCTACTACAGCTGATCAATTAATCAATTAGGTGATTGACAGAAAACCAATATCGGCTATAGGACAGTGACGTTATTGATTCACTCAATTCTCCATTAATCTTGATTGAAAAATGAATATTTGGACTATTAAATGTCAGAAATTACTTATTTTTTTCTGTCCAACTCATTGTCAGCAACTATTTTGATTGTTGTCTAAACCTTTGAGATATTTATGAAGCAGAAATGTCAAACGTTCTCTATTTACAGCTTCTAAATTAAGCACATATGCTGTTTTTTTGTTCTTGTTTGATAGTAAATTTGAAATGGTTAATTGTTAAAACACCACATTTATTTAAATATATAACAAAAGTGATTGAAGAATAAATAATCAGTTTTCTATATCTCTGCAACACTTTGCTTTCCGATAAAGACGCTAACTAATCAGGAAGCCATTATCCTGAGCTTAAACTGAATGTCCCGGTCTAGACTACCAGGGACTCGAAATAGATTCAAGCTCAATGCTTAGTAATAAAACCCTACATAACATGCAGTATCCAAAAGACAAGCTGTAGCAGAACACGCCTCCTTTTAACACCTTGTTATGTCACGTAGGTCAGAGGTCAACGGTTTAAATTCCTCCTCACAGAGTTAATCCCGATCTTTATCTCCGTATCATCTCCTCAGGTCAATGACCTCCCAGACTTCCTTCATGGAAAGAACCGGGAACTCTGCCAGCACATTCGAATCACCTACGTCACAGACAAGCCTGTTGTGAGGGGCCATGATTGGCTGAGGAGAGACAGGAAGGCGGGACGTCCTCCCGTAGCCCCGCCCTCTCGCAGAACCAGCCAATGCCCAACAATAACACACACCGTAGAAGGTAAAGAGGTGTTTTTAAATGTCAAATTACCAAAATAATTTACAAACAATTGTCAAAGGTTGCATCTTAGATCACCGTAGGGGGCCAAAGTTTGTAAGGGCGGCTGTGGCTGAGGAGGAAGAGCAGCTGATGCGCTAATCGTGAAGTCAATGCGGAAGTGTCTTAAAACTTGCATTCTCTTCTACTGACGAAAATGACTCTACTTCTCTCTTGATTTATTACCTCAGTAAACATTGTAAACATGAGTTTATGGTCTCAATCTCTAGTTTCAAGTCTTCTTCAATACAGCATGATGTTCATTTAGTAAATATGTTCACTTCCGTTCATTGGTTGCAAAAAGCCAAGATGGCGACGACCAAAACCACGAACTCAAGGCTTCAAAACGCAGTCTACTGACCAACGGGTGACGTCACGATGACGATACGTCCACTTACACAGTCTGTGGTGTGAGATTGTCCAGTAAAGCGCAGTGCATTGAGAGATACACCGGTCGATCAGCCGCTTGATGGTTGAACATTGCTGGGACAGCGGCACAGCCAGTAACGTCCCAATAACACGGAGAACTTCTATTTGAGTGAGAAATTCTCCTGTAATTTGCTGCAGTTTTGGAGAAAAAGCAAGTTATTTAAGAGTCGTTTTACTATGAAATCTGTGAAGCTGTTCTTTGTTTCTTGGTTCATTTCCCCTGATACCTTTTGAGTGTAACTTTACCCCCCTGTGTCTTTTATTTCCCCGACAGGATATCCTGCACAGAGGTGAGCATCTCAAACACACAAATACCCTCTCAGGTTAGTCAGATGATAGCCATCAATGGAACCTGAGACCGGCTGTGGTTGCTTTTACTTTCTAACTCTTGAGTGTCAAACACTCTTTTTAAAGATAGTCCAAAAAGAAGCACACTTCCTGCTTAAGTCTAATAACTGAAAATCTACTTTGAAACGAATGCTAAAGTCTTTTTATCCACAACTACGGGAGTTATTTGACACTTCAGAGGTCCAGCTGTCCCGCATGGTGTAACTTTATGTGTCTAATTTAGCTTTTTACCCTCCTGTGTGTCCAAAGTGAGCAGCTCAGATTCTGTCTGGGCGTCAGGGAGACAGACGAACTCTTTGAGCGATAAAACCTTTACAGCTGTGTTTATCTGCAGGGCTACAAGAGAGGAGGAGGGTTAAACTTTAGGAGCTTAAATACCTGCATTCATAATGTTTGTATACTGTATGTGTGGTGACGGGAAGAGGGTAGTGTCCTCACCGACACGACAAAACATTCCACAAAAAGTTCAATCTCATCCCTTCGGTTTGGAAACAGGTAAATAATGCGTGAAGTGAAAGCTGCCTCACTCTAACAGGATCAGTAATGATCCTCTTCGGGTAGCTCATGACGTATTTAATGAAGAGGGACATGTTTCACCTCAGTTTACCTGCTGCTCATGGTCATCGTCCACTGGGGAATTTCAACAGGTACCACGATCGTCTCCGACTCATTACTGAGATCCAAATGTATTTATTTTACATGAGTACATGAGCAACATGTAAGCTTTTGCAAACGAAGTATTAAAAGAGTAAAATTACACTTTAAATATAAAATTATGTACAGTATATCTGAATTCAAATGAATAAGCTGTGCAGTTTTCAGAAGTAGTTTTGTTGATCTTTTCAGCTTTTCATCTAATTATGATGTGAAAATTAAAGAATTTGTATCAAGTACCTTCATCCGACTTTTTACCTGAATACACATTATTTTCTAATTAATTGTTCTGGGTTCTTGACGTCCTGTTTACTATTTGGTCGCGTCTTGAATCCCTCTGCGTCTCAGGAAATGACGAGAGGAAGTGCGATCAGATTTGCTGTCGTTGAACACTGACTTGTTGCCTCGTTACAACAAATGCTTGTTGTGTGTGTGTGTGTGTGTGTGTGTGTGATGTAAACGCTGTCTCATGCTTACCTGTCTTTCTGCTTGAGTGTAGTTCACCCATGGGGGGTCATTAAACACACACGCTGAGAGATATTGATGGATCTTTGGGGACTCGGAAGCAGTTTTCATCCGTTGGATCGTTACGTTGAAATTACTGAGCAGCCTGTCGGCAACAATAGAAAACACACTTAGCTTTAATGCTCAATACACATCAGAAAAAAAATGTTAAAACATTAAATGTGAATTTTTACTGGTGTCTTCACCTCTCTATGACAGTAAAGTGGACAAAAGAAGACATTAGAGGATGTCTGGTAGACATTTTTCATCATTTTCTGACATTTTATAGGACAAACAACTAAAATAATCAACATATTAACATTCATCCACAATTAAAATGATGCTACTGTGACAGAAGTGAACCTCGTCCATCTCTTTCCTGTTCCTCAGGAGCCCCGGTGAGCTTCCCACGTTACCACCCACACGTTCTGCCTCGTGTCCAGACCCGGAGACTCTGGGCCTCATCAGGGTCCCACACCCCACCACTCGGCCTCCCTCCACAGCGCCCTCCCCCACCAGCTCCCCCACCTCTCCTCTGTCGCCATCCAGTCACAGACTTAACTTCCCCAACACTGGCCAGGTGCAGACTGTCTTTTCTAAATTTGATTTCAAACATTTGTGCATGCAAAGTGGCTCAGAAGATGAAACCTTCATTGGTGTGTTGATGATGTGTTGATCCAGGTCCAGAGGGGGATCGGCTCAGTTCTGTCTCGCCTGTTGAGGAGGGACTCTTCGAGCGGAGAGGAGAGGGAGGCCGAGCTGCATCTTTACGCCGTGTCGGATACGTCCAGACTTTACCTTCATCTGCAGAGCTCATGGAACAGCTTCATTATTGTGAGGGACTCATTGACGAGCGAGTGCTTTACGACATGATGTGATGGAGGGATGCCTATCGTTAGGATTCTATCAATAATCAATTGATTTAGAAAATAATTGACATTCCTTTTATTATTCTTGTATGTAATACTATATCACCTGTAGTTATCCACTGATTCAGCATTTCTCTACTGTAACGTTGTCCGACTCCTGATGGACAAGTTTAAAATCCATTCCACTCCATTACCCACAATCATGTATTCTTATTTGGATGTTAACATTCTGTGTGTGTGTGTGTGTGTGTGTGTGTGTTCAGAAGTCCACTCTGGCGTTGGACCCGCTCTACAGAAGGAGGTGCAGTGCCTCGTCTAAGTCCTGTCCTGGAAAACGACCTCCAGCCATCAGGTAACAAAACTCTGTTGTAACACAGCACTCTAACAGAAGCAGAAGCATTATTTATGACCTGCTGTGTGTGTGTGTGTGTGTGTGTGTGTGTGTGTTTGTGTGCAGCTGGGATCGGACAGCTCACCTGTTTGGTCAGCTGAGCTGTGAGCTCCTGCAGGAGGGGATCAGTGTGGAGAGTCTCTACCTGCTGCTGCAGGAGCTGAGAACCGCCGCTCACCGCGACATCACACTCCGCCGACTCTTCTGGAGGGTGAGACGTCCACGCACCCGTTCGTGCTCCTCGACATTATTCGCACAATACTCATTTTCACTGAACAGACCCTGAAAGCATCATAATGTTAGTGATGCTGCTAATGTTACTATCTCTCCTCCTGGCAGTTCAAACCTCCTTATATACAGTCTATTATTTAAACACGGAGTGGTTGTTTGTAGTGTGACACTATCGGGGATCGCCGACTAGAAGAGCATCAATGGCGACGCCCTGATCGTAGGTTTTACTGAACATTGGGGGATATTGAGCTTCAAACCGTGGCGCTCTACTGTCAATGTCATCTTCACAGGAAGTTTATATGTTTGTGAGGACTTTCTCTCTTGTGCTTCAGTCCAGTGAGCTGTTCGTCTTCCTGGTTCAGACTCTGGAGGAATCTCTGCACGGCTGCCAGAGCCTCAGTGGAGTCTGCACAGCAGATCAACTACTGTAAGCTTCAGTGTGTGTGTGTGTGTGTGTGTCTGATCTTAGACCCTTAATCCAATCAGGGAAATAACCCTTTGAGTTTATAAGCTGCTTTTGTTTTTACACAACACACTTAAGGCTGTTACAGAAGTGTTGAGGTATGTGTGAGTTCATCTCTCTCTTTATCCTTGATTTTTGTCAATTAAAAACTAAATGTGTGTGCGTGTGTGTGTCACAGAAAACAGTAAAATGTAGTTTGTATTTCAACAGTTACTGTGGATACACTCTTAACTCTCTTGACAATGTCTTCTTATTTTGTTAGTACGTATTGATTTCTGGGATTCACCAATGTCTTCTCATTTTTGCTCTTCTCTCATCTTAACACAGTTTTGTGGTAGTTCAGTGCTTCAGAACTGCTTATGAACGTGATTTTACTTTAAACCGATCAAGTTTCTTTTCAGAAGGAAATGAAGCAGAGACCTCCGCTTTAATACTGAGTTAATACCAATGGACTTTCTTACACTCTGTGTCTGTGAATTGTATTGGAAGGAATTTTTATGCAACAATAAGCCTTTAACACCAACTCAATGCTTCTGTTCAGACTGAGCACTCTGATCGTCCAGACGCTCGCCGTCATGTTCAGAGAGACGGAGGTCGAACCGGCCAGACTCAACCTGCTCTCTGCCAAAAAGTAAAGACCCCAACTGTCCCCTTTCTATTTGAATACTTCATCCTTTAAAACGTTGATGCGTGGATCTTGTTCCTGCTGTAAATACCTCTCTCTCTCTCTCTCTCTCTCCCTGCAGAGGAGCCCTGGCCTCCAGAATGCTGCTCGCCTTGATATGTGACGCAGAGCTACAAACACAGAACCAAAGCTCTCTGGTTGACTGCAAGGTGAGCTGCTCCCCACTCACATTAATGTTATATATTTCATCTGTTTCTAATGTCACCGCTGTCCTTCTCTGTCAGTGTCAGGCCTTACTAGCCGAGTACCTGGACGCCGCCTGCTCTCTGCTCTTTGAGCTGCTGCTTTTAGGCCACGACGTGAGTTTATATCCCAATGAAACCTCTTTGATTGTTTGAGCACCAACGCTGCTAAAATTACTCTCATCTATACAGTCCTGAACTGATTTTAGCCTGGTAAATGTCAAACTTCCCCACTCAGCCTGTGAATTTTCACTTTATTGAAACTTTAGGCCAGCAGAAGTTCCTCTGCTGACAACTTCCTGTCTGTTGGCAGGATCCTCGGAGTCCTGCAGCCTCATCCTCAAATGGTAAACGTCCTCCATCATCATACATCCCTGTTAACTTCACTCTGAGACAGATTGTCCTGTAGGCCAAACATTTTAAAGCTGCATTTTGCTTATTTTTGACTCGAGTTAAAACTAGAGAACTGCTCTCCTCATCTCTCTGCAGTTGTCCTTCATTGGGTACCAGGTCCAGCAGGTGGTGCTGGTTCTGTCGGACCTGCAGGAGTCCTTTCTGAGTCCACTTCAGTCTGTTGTGTTGTACCAGCGCTGTCGCCTCCTGCTGGCCTGTCTGCAGTACAACAACCAGCTGGCCCAGCACCTCCGATCCCATTTCAGAGAGGAGTTCAGGTTTGTGCTGCTGCCTCACTTTTCTGCTCCACATTCAGGACGGTGAGGACTAACGCACGAGTTTTTTGGAGTAAAAAGTACCTCCCTGAGGTGTAGTGGGGTATAAGTATTAAGTAGAATAAAATGGAAGTACTCAAGTATGTAAAAATTGTACTTCAGTGCAGTACTTGGTGAATAAGTGTGTTTCCCTCCAGGTACTTTGTGAAGCTGTCGTGCGCGGAGGAGAAGCTGCCGCCTCACTACCCGATCAGCCAACCAACTCTTCAGCTGGTCGAGCAAATCCTGACTCTTCATCTGCACAGATGATCGCACACAAACACACGCGCTCTCGCAGACTGTGCCTTTAATAAAGTCTGAGTGAGTTTATCTTTCGAGTCGCACCGCTGCCGTTAATGAACCGAGCGGTAAATCTGCTGCTGTTACAGGTGAAACAAAGGAACTCAGTAGAAAGAATAGCACTTCTTTCTACCACGTGTTTTTGTTGTGTTACGAAATGTTCCTTTAATGCTGTAAAGCAGAAATCTTCTCCCGGTTTCCTGCGTCGATGCTCAGCTGGTGTAGTGTTCACCACGTTAGCTTAGCATATTAGCATGCAAGCACCTGCTAATTGGCACCAACGTTCCTGTTGTATAAGCATCCTTCCCTGTACGTTTGGATTCTGCCTTTGTGTACATTTAGGACATGTAGATCTGCAGATGTCCTCAGATGATGTGCGCTCTAAATGAACGTTATTTAAGTGGAAGTTGTCTAAAGTTCAAGGGCACATTCATGGTGGATTACTCACGATTGTGTCAACGACGGAGAAAAGATTACGTCGAACAAGACTCGGACTGAAGAAGACAACGGTCATAAAACCAATTCCGTCTGATTGTTGGGCTAGTGGGTAGGAAGTACATTGAAGAAATAATTTCTTAAATTAAAGGTAGACTGAAGCTTTTAGAAAGATTCACTTAATCAGTGTAAAACCCTGATTATTTAACTAAATTAAGTTTTAATACCAGAACTAGTAGAAATTACTTTTCTGACATTTTCCATCTTCCATTGATTTTACTGTCAACGGTTGAAGTTTGCAAATAATTAAAGGAATACTCCATCAGAAGAAAAGACACGGTCACCTGTGAACATGTGAGTGTGTTAATTTAATAAAACATGATCTCGTCACACAACGCCTTGTTTTCCTGCACTGATTCGTGGGCGATGCGTGCTGCCGTACGCGTTCACATCTTGGCTTTAAGCGTCTGTCTCGAGTACAGATGCTGCTGCAGAAAAGCCAAGATCTTATTCCAGGAGTCCTCCTGAGTGTCTGAATGGGGTTTGGTTTGTCCTCCCCAAAGCAATATCACTGAAACACACGATGGAGATCAGAAAACTGGAGGGTTTTTAATGGATACGTAAGGCAGAACAAAATAAATAAATGTTACATTGTAAAATATAGAACAATTTTTTACCAACAGATTAAAATATTTGGTTCTGTGATCGACGGTGAAGGGAACACATCTATGAATGTCTTCCATAACCCCGAAAACCACCAAAACTAAAAACCAAAAGCAGAGCCTGCAGACGTTAAATGAGCAGAACTCACCTTTCTCTTTTGTGTCATCCTTTATGAACTTAGTGGCTCTGAAGTGAGGCGAGTAGGGCGGCTCGATCAGATGTCCGGCATCCAGGTATTCAATTCTGGTCAGCAGGTGCTCCTTCCCTGCTGCTCGCATCATTTTGGCCATCTGGGGTGGGGTCAAAGGTCAAATCAAAACCACCGACTGATTTCATGTCTGTGGAGCTCCAGCAAGTGTGTCTGTGTGTGTGTGTGCACTCACATCCTCAGCACACTCCACTGTGGGCACGTTCTGATCATCACGGCCGTTCACCAACAACATTGGACAGTTTATTTTCCCCACCTCCAAGAGAATCAAGCACAATACGTGTTTGTTAGAATAAACCAATGTTTGCACGAAATGTGTCATTTGGTGCAAAGTGGAACACCATAACAATATTTTACATTTATAGTGCAATGCATTGACTATATCGTAAGGGGATGTAGTCATTTCATTCACTGAAAACACACTGAAAGGGTTGTCAACCTGTCAATCACTGTGTAGCCCCGCCCTAAAGCATCCCCTGCTTTATGGTCTGTTTGACTCTAAATGGAGCATAATGTACTAAATGAACATCATGCTGTATTGAAGAAGACTTGAAACTAGAGATTGAGACCATAAACTCATGTTTACAATGTTTACTGAGGTAATAAATCAAGAGAGAAGTAGAGTCATTTTCTCATAGACTTCTATACAACCAGAGGAGTCGCCCCCTGGTGGACACTAGAGAGAATGCAGCTTTAGAGCACTTCTGCATTGACTTCACTTTTCAGAACAGAAGGTTTCTGCCTGGTACAATGATTGAAGAACAGACAAGAAAGCCACGAAAATAGGGCGCCAAGACATATTTTTGTCCGATGTTGGACGTTAAAAAGTGCAACATGTACTTACGTCCACTTTCTGCGAGAGATCATCGGGAATCGGTAGGAACCTATCTCGCCATATCTCATGGTTGTTCTCATCCACACGCACCTTGTGATTATTCCTGCCATCACAAGTAATTAATTAATCATGATATCAGTCCAACTGTGTGTACTGGCTTCATGTTACTGACAGAATAACAGAATACCTACGAGAACAACAATCGAGAGAATCCTTTGAGGGTCGCCCCGCGTGGATAAATGTGGATGCCGCTGATACAAACACAACAACGAGGCTGGAACAAAACACAACGATGCACTCTTAAATCTGGTTCTCTACTGCGTGCTATCAGGGCCAAAAGTTCTACAGGTTTTCAACTTCAAACCTGCAAACAAAAAAAGCAATCTCCAACATATTTTGCATTCAGTACTTGCCTTGATAACGCTGCTCTCGGCTGCCAAATAACTGGTCACAACCGAGCCGAGGGAAAGACCAACAATTCCGACTCTGTCTGGGATCACTTGAGGATGGTCACTGACGATATTAAACGCCGTCTGTGCAGAAGTAGAACGGGAACTTAAGAAACAACAAACGCTAATAAACGTAATAAGTAAAGTTTAAAATACTGGTGTCTGTTCATGGCCTAAAGATGACGATGTAAATGTAAGATGTTTATGTGTCTAAGATGTCACAAACAGGCAGAAATTCAATAAAAACGGGCCACAGTTTGGCCACACCAGCTTTTTATATTGAAATATGAATAACTTAGTGTATTAATAACAAACACAAACCTCAAAATAGTTGAACTCTATTTCGGCTGATTTAAGCTCATCGGCGGAGAAATATTCCAGCGCCAAAGAAGCGTAACCGTGAGACGCCAGCAGAGCTGAGCGATACTCCAACAGCCCTCCACCTCCTCCCCACATGTCCAGCAGGCCGGGGAACGGTCCTGGACCTGAGGCACGGAGACACTGGATTTACTGATCATCTAATCTAACTAAAACACTGATCTTTTAAGAGCGACACAAAGAAGATAAGAGGAGGACATATGTTTTCAGGTGGACCTGGAGGTAGAAACAGCGTCCCTCGCACTCCTTTCTCTCTGACTTCCATCCTCCGGACTCCTGGACCCATGTACCATCTCTCTGTGAGCGCCGAGGCCAGAGGAGCCTGCTCCCTGAAGCCCTCCTCTACATGTCCACTGTAGACCGAGATGTTGACCAGCAGGGGGCTGCAGACGTTCATCTTTCTCAACCTTGACAGGTGAAGAGGTTCAAGGTGTGTTAATGAGGCCCGGAGCCTGCAGCCTGCAGCAGAGACGAGCAGCTCACTTCTTCAACACACTAGGTTTCAGTTAACATGATACAGAAATATAGATTTCACCAGCTCACCCTGTGGATCCACACCCGAAGAATTAAAGCTGAGACCTTAATTAATGCACAAGCCCGGGTTCAAATCCCACCCGCAGCCCTGTAGTCCCCCGTCTTTCCACAATGTCTTTGTTATCCATGATTTTGTTGTTCAGTGCAAAGAATTTATAACAGATCCAGTGCGAGGACAGAGAAACAATATCGTTTAATTAATCATTTCAGAGGAGAAGAAGAGGATTAATTGTGTTATTGACTTTAGGTGATAGTTTTACCTGAGGCCCTCACGGCTGCCTGGGACAGGACGCATACTCCACAACAAACCCATGGCTTCTTTTCCCGTGTACGTTCCCCCAAAACTGAAATCCTCTGCAACTACAAAATATACAACAAAGCCAAGAAGCAAATTAGAAATCTGAAGTGTTTTTGTGTTTAGCATGAGGCCGCTTGTCCTCACAGTAGATTTAAAACACACTTTAAGATTTTAAAATGTAGTTTTGGAAGAGGAAGAGAACTCACGAGACACGGTTCCTCTGTGATCGCTGATGTAGTGTCCGAAGGCCTCCCAGAAGTCCTCGTCCTCGGAGAGGTGGAGGGAGTGAAGTGTTACTGGAGAACCCGGAGGCAGATTCCGCACCGCCACCTTGAACGTCTCATCCACCAGAGCCCGAGAGGGGACAACGGAGACAACCGGAGGGACAGTGTGGGACATGGCGGACGATCGTCTGTGGAGAAATGCACGAGTTCATTCCGTGCCATCGGTTTTTCAGGGGTTCTTTAAAGGGTTCCATTAAGAACTCTTTTCAGCCTAAAAACCGTTTTGGAAGAAAGAGTTCTTCAAGGATCGATGAAAGCATGAGTGACAGCACGACCCCCAAAAACTGTGATTGTGAACAAAGATCCTGGACCTTCTGAACAGTAACTTGAGCTCCAGAAGGAACTCTCATAATATAAAAGGGTTCTAATGAACTACGTCCAGATTAGATTAATATCATGACTTGAGACGACGTATAACTTTGGATTTTAGATATCCTGAATGTTGGCTACATTGCAGTAAAGTGATGTAATTCAGAACATACCACAGGGTTCTTGCTGTTTTGCAATAAGTAACAAAAAGATAAATAAAAGAAAAGGTTTAGACCCTGATAAACCTGCTGACAAAACAGAAAGACCAAAGACACAAAAAGGAAATGATTGTTTAGTTTGATGAATGTTATCTCAGACAGAACACAGCATTCCTCCACACTGATTGTGGGAGTGATGGATTTGATAAGTTAATGCTTTGATGATGAAAACTCACTCAGTTTAACTCCCCAACTGCATATAAATCAGTTAAAGCAGTAGAACACTGCTTAGACATGATACTTGATACTTCTAAGTATATTTTGCTCATAAAACTTCTGTGTTTTTTTAGTGCAGGACTTTTACTTTAATTCAAGTATTTTTTACATTAGTATTTTTTGTAAAGTTGCCACTAGTGGAAGTATTTAAGTTATATCATGCACCATGCGTATGTTTTCTCTTCATACTTTGCTTTCACTGCAATGTTTGGTTTTGTTTACTAAATCTAACTGTTTAAAGATATTTTACCTAAACCCAACTAAGTGGTTTTGTTGCGTAAAACTTTAGTTTTCTCGCATATTGTCCCGAAAAAGAGGTTTAGAGCAGTACATAAACCTCGTGAGCATTTCACAAACTAAGTACTCATTAACAGTTTCACCAAAAGAACTCACAGAGTTTGAGGATCGTTGGCTGCAGGTCCACGAGGGCTCAGGGAAATCCTCAAATGCCTGTGAGCTCTCTGGTGTAAACCCTTTACTGTATACTGTACATTCCTCAAGTGTGCACTCCTGAAAGCGGACTTTGCCTCGCAGACTTCGCACAGAAACATGTTCACCCAGTTGTAGACTACTTATCTCTATGACCCGCGACACAGTGTACATGACACGTCTCGTGTGCCTCGGGGCTCTTATCTTTGTAATTACCCATTAATTAAGGACCCACTTTAAATATCCTGCAAAGTTCCTCATACAGTTGTAGCCGTGATTTTAACTCTTAAAGTCCCCTCAGTGACACATACGGAACATCCTGGTGACTTCATGTGACAAGTGAGTTTATTTGTGTACCAATTAAATCACTTCCACTTGTTGCTAAAGGTAAGTTTCAACACATGCTTTCATAACAAGTCCTACATTAGATCTAAACTGTTCTAACCATATTCCACAAACATATTTATGTCTAAAAAGTTATGAATATATATTGTTTTGTGGGCTTTTAAACGTATAATTGTCTCAGAAAAACCAATGTGAGGCAAAAAATCACATTGCAACCATAATGAGGCTATAGTGATTTTGTTCACGTGCAGTATTTTGTATAGGTAGTAATTCATTCAAAGTCATAACATAAAGTACAGAATATAATTTTATTTGTTAACTTGAAACATGTTTGATTGTGACATGATGCAAGGAAATAGAGAAAATTGATATCCAAATATATACAATATTTTCCCCAAAAAACTGTGGTAATTTATGAAACTCCTGTGATTTATATAATATATTATACTATTAAAAAGTATTTTTATAATGTTCAAAATCGAGTATGATTAGTTGCTGCTACTTTCTAACCTGTGTTGACTCTTACTATGGTGATCTTATTTATATGCATGCCTCTGCTAACTGTCTACGTATGGTGGACACAGCTTACATGCTTCACTGCGGTTCATTACCAATTGTAAAGCTCTGACTCACCACTGTGAGTTATACTCGCGGGTAGGACGGCCTGCTTTGCCCACCCGTAGGCTCTGTCATTGGTACACCTTTATTTATAAGGCAATCCTTGGTCTGCTACCAAGCTACCTGTGTGTATTGATCATGCGGAAAAGTGTCGGACAATACTCCTTGCGTTCTCAGGACTTCTTTATGCTCACTGTACCAAATGCCAGAACGGTAATGGGAAAAAGGGCTTTTGTGTACTCTGCACCCTCATCCTGGAATATGTTGCAGAATGACTTAAAACTGAAAGAACTGATACCACTTACTGCTTTTAAATATAAAATGAAAGAAATAGAGGCAGGTTCCCAAAAATGTCAATGTTTTTTAAATGAACTCGGTTAAGTCACTGTCTCTTAACTTTTAATTTATTTTAACTTGTTTTGTGTTTCCTGTCTGTAACTATGTGTTTCTTGTGTTGCTGCCTGTCTTGGCCAGGTCTACCTTGAAAAAGAGATTTTTAATCTCAATGGGACTCACCTGGTTAAATAAAGGTTGAATAAAAAAAAAAAAAAAATGTTACGTGAGTTAGGATGCGGAACTTTCACAACTTCCGGTAGGTGGTCGGACCCGTGTTATAGACGGACCGGAAGCGTGAGGGTACCGAAGACCGTTCTGCACCTGGTGAGTTTCCAACCAGCTCTTTCATGTCCTTCTTTTGTCAAACTTTGACACCGTTTTCTACCAAACACGCGTCCGTTTTATCTCATATTATAGTTTAAAGATTTAACAGATTTATTCTTTATTCATTTATCACATCCTAATGGCGCGAGACCCAGACAGCCATTGCTGTTGTGACTTTGAGTCGACGCTCACGTGCTTGATTCTTCTTTTTGTGTGTATGTGTACAATGACAACAAACGAACCATGTAGGTTACAATGTTACACATTTCTTAAAACTGTTAGAGAGTTGTTGATTCAACTGTTTGATTATTTTGCTTGTACCAGTTGAAGTAAATATTTCTTTATATAGTTTTGTAAGCTCGATGTCAGTGTTACTTGTATACTTTTTCTTCTATCTCTAAGATGTTTGTTGTTGTTTTTTAGATCAGTCTCTTAAATAGTCTCCACAGCTGACAAGATGTTGAGAAGTGCCTCTGCACAGGTGAGAGGAAAAAAGGGATTGTTACTGCAAGTAGTTATTAATTTCATTATCAATTAGTTTGTCTCTTATTTTCTGGATTCATCAATTAGTTGTTTGTTCTATAAAATGTGTAAAATCTGTGTTTTACAAAAACACAAGATCACATCCTGAAAAGTCTTTTTTTAAACGGTCATAGAGGAGTAAAGATACGAGAAAATATTCACATTTAAGATAATTTTTTCTTTAAAGAATCACTCAAATCAATTAATTGGTTATCAAAGTAGGTGGTGATAACAATTACTACTAGACACATTAGTTGTATTGGATATATATCTGACTATAGAAAGATCAGCACCATCAGCATGGACTGAGACTTTATTGATCAGACATGCAGACACCAAAGAAAAGCATCTCAACTGATGAGAAGGAGGAAAACATTCAAGCGTGTGCAGGGAGATGCACACGAGCTCTGCATACTTTGGGCTTTACAAAGTAAATATTTAATCTCGTCCCTCCACAGATCTTCAGACAGGTGGTGAGGTGCAGCAGCACAGACGCCAGCCTCATCCTGGAGAGATGTGAGTCCGCTTTCTGCCTGGAAGAGACGGATTTAAACATCCTCGCCTCTCAAATGTGTTCTCACTACGATTTAACGTCTTTGTTCCAGCGATAAACCGCGTACAGCTGTTGGGCCGAGTGGGTCAGGACCCGGTGATGAGACAAGTGGAGGGTCGCAACCCGGTCACCATCTTCTCGATGGCGACCAATGAAATGTGGCGCTCTGGAGACGGAGAGACGAGCCCAACGGGTACGACGTCGCGTGATACCCGATGATGGAAAAACAGTTTGTTACAAGTGAACTCATTGTGCTTTACGCTAAAATTCCTCTGCGGAGATGGAAAGAAATCCACATAAAGTAAAGACACAGAGCAGCATATTTAATATATTATATTATTTTGCGATCTCCTTAAAGGTCCAGCTTTGCTGACATCGTTTGCTCTTATGTTGGTGCGTAACAAAGCACTGCACGTTAAGAATATTAGAAATAAATGTACAATATAAGAAATAAACATCACTGCGAGGTAAGAATCTAAAATATAAATTTACAGTAAAAGTACTAATCTAAGCACCGCATGTTAAGAATTTTACGTGTACATTTTAAAGAGCTGTAGAGCGTTTTAAAAGAAAGTGTTTACAGTGTAAAGAATGAGGATTGTTTTTTTGTAGCTCCAGGGGACATCAGTCAGAAGACGACGTGGCATCGCGTGTCAGTGTTCAAACCTGGTTTGAGAGATGTGGCCTACCAGTACATCAAGAAAGGGTATGACCGTAAACACATCTGGGTGTTTAAAATGTTTTTTGGTGGCGTACAGCAGAGAGGCAGAGTCAGAAAATACACATAAAATCATAAAAAGTATTTAAATTCACTGGGTTAGCCAAAAGAAACGTCACTATATCACAATATACATTGATATCTTAATATGAAATTACACGGATAGAGGATTTCATCAGTCATTCCCAAAGACAAGGTTGGGTCGCCAAATACATTTTCAGACTTTCTTCCATAGTCTTTGATTCAACGTTCATATCTGCAGTACGGGTTTGAGCCACACGAGGGCGCCTGAACATTCGTATTCTGATAATTGAAGCATAAAACAAATTCTAAATGGCTGGTTTACTTCATCACGGTAATATTAAGTGATGTGGAAATGGCCACAAAAAGTTGGTCCCCAGAAAACAAAAAGTTTGGGAAGCACTGCACTAGCAGATAAGTTAGTCCAAAGTGAGAAAGAGAAGCTTAATTACAGATTGTTTATTTTAAACCTGCAGAGATATTAATGCTAAGAAGACATATTTTCAGTAGAGTATCACTTTAACTCTCCACCTGAGGGTCTAAAGCTGGATAACGTATGACAGAGGAGCCTTCATGTGACTGATTCAAGGCCTCTGTTTTAGGTCGAGGATCCTTGTGGAGGGGAAACTGGACTACGGAGAATATGTGGACAAGAACCAAGTGAGACGCCAGGCCACCACCATCATCGCAGGTCATAAACGCTTTATGTGAATATGAAGTCGCGTAAAGGTGACACGACGATTACGACACAGTCTCGTGGCACAAATTCAATCTAGTGGTTTTGTGTAAAAGGACAGGAATCGTCCTTATTGAAAATAAGGACGTACAGTTCGCTTCAGGCAACAGAACCACAACGTGGTGTCAAACACTCGGGTGTTGTGGGTGAACGTCCTGTTTGTTGGACCCACAATAAGATGTATTTTTTGGATGTTAAATATGACATCACTTGCTCTTACTGTTACTCAGTTACTTGGATGCATTTAATTTGTGTGTTAAAGGATCCTAATTGACAAACAATTTGTTTCTTTCTTTCCAGACAACATCGTCTTCCTGAGCGACAACATCCGAGAAAGAACCTGAAGCTCTTTCTCCTCTTCGTCTCCACACGACAACTTATTTTTGTATTCTCCAGTTTTACACAGAAACCCGACTGAGGACCTGACCTGAACCCCCCCCCCCCCCCCCAAAAAGGAACTGACCCACCCAAAGAGAACGGGGACCAAATATGCTACGACACTCTGATCATGTTTGGCGCCTCCTGCCGACCTTGAGGCATCGAGAGAAGCAGAAAGTATAAATAGACGTTCTGATTCTATAGTTTTCATTGTGCTACTTGTACATGACCGTTAAAAGTGCAGTTTAGAAAAGACAAATGTTTCACTGCGTTAGAAGTTTGAAGAAGCTGTAGCGACTCGTAGTCGTGTTGAGGATCGTAGACGAACGTTATTGTTTCTTCATGGGGTCGGTAAAGACAACTGCTCTGAAAACTAAAAAGAAATCGTGTTTTGTTGGGAACTATTTTCAGATTAATCGTGGTCATTTCATGGGATTTGTTCATCACAAAGAAAATACAGTTCATCACCAGTTTTAAGTCTAATTTAAACAGATTTGCTCTTTCTTACACTGGCTTCTCTCTGTGTTAAATGTCAGCTGTCTTTCCTGCTAAATCAGAGGAAAAGCCTTTAATATGTTTCACTTTTTTTGTCCTGTTTCTGCATTTTGTTTTCTTGTTCACATCCCTGAATCGTGCATACTTGTAACCCAACATTGATGTGTGCATTTGATGTTTTTTGTTTTGTCACTTATCAGTTGTTATCCCCCTTATCTCTTGATCGTTTCCTTCAGCTCACTACTGCTGCTTCATTTCTCTGTAATATTTGGTATAATAGACTTTTTTTTTTACAAACTATATTTGTGTTCACATTTTTGTTCATCTTCTTCAGTCAGGGCATGTATGACTCAAACCTCCCTGTGTTAATAACTGAACAAATTCCCCTATAAGCACTTTATAGACGAGGAAAAGCAGAAAAAAGTTACAAATAACCATTAAAAACATTAAAAAAAACCTATTCTTAAAGGAATTCTAAGAAAATGAATGGCAAATATTTGCATTAAAAACATATAAACGTGTACTTTATGAAAGTATGTCACATGTAAGTATTGAGTTATTTAAATCTTGTATTTTCGCTAGTGGACGTTGATTGGCTGTTTCTCCGGCTGCGGGGGCGGGCTTACTCAGAGGTATTCTTGGCCTAACGTGATTGGTCTCAGGAATAGTCATAGTCTTTCCTGATTGGCTGCGTCACTTGTCAATCAAAGAAGAACACGGTCGGATAGCTGGAGGTGGGCGGGGCTGTGATTTTTGGGGAAACGTGTGGATTCAGTTTAAAAGACTGGTTAATTCCGTCACTTTAACGGAATTAACCAGTGAGACCGGAAATAGGTTGAGAGGATTTAAAAATAAAAGCTGAAAATTTATTCATAACGGGATTTATTTGTCAAAAGTAGAGACTGAATCTTTTATCTTATTATCCTACACAAGTTTATTTTAGTTTATATATTTGTTTACTGTTTACTCACTTTAACTGCTGTAAAACCTTCAGCAAAGGCCTGAAATGAGGCGTGCTGGCTTTATTTTGAAGGTTTTAACCGGAAACTCTAGTTTGTTATTGTGGGTATTTGACGCTAGTGTCATAAACAGCTGGAACAGAAGAACCACTCCACATTCTACAGCCTACATTTAACCTCCAATGTATTACAGTACTTTCACTTGTACTTGTTAACAGTCGTGCTCACTTTTTTTAACAGAGTTTCTTTTATTTCTTGAGTTTATTTCCCCCCAATTTCTCTGCTTCTCCGTGACTCCGCCCCTGCATTCCTGTGTGTCTGGGCTGTGAAGAAGAGGAGGAGGAGGACGCTGCAGAAAGCTGAAGCAGAGAGCAGATGATCATCAACAACAACAACGCTCAGCTTCAATCTGACTGCTGCAGCCTTCTGACACATCGAGCATTTATCCCTCAAGTCTGAACCAACGGCACGTGTTTCTATTTATTCTACTTATTTCCTTTAACGAGTTTTGGAAACTTTTCTTTTTTTTTACACCGGAGTTGGAGCTTTATTTTTGGAGTTTTGGTTTTCAGTCCGACTGCACTGCAACAAAACACCCGTTTTTGTTTTCGCTGCATTTTTATTTCTGCGGCAAAAAAACAACAACAAACCGGGCAGAAGAGAGAGCGTGTGTGTGTGTGTGTGTGGAGGAAATCATGGAGATCCTGGACGGTAGTGAACCGTTTCTACACTGGGACCGGAACCTCAGCGAGCTGTCTGAGGCTGGAGAGATCGACCGTGTGCTCTACACCAATGTAAGTTATCGATCAGGCTGATTGTCTCTGAAGCCCGTCAGTGAGAAATAATCACCTTTTAATCACTTTGATTGAGACGAGGGGGGAGGGAAGTGTGTGTGTGTGTGTGTGTGTGTGTGTGTGTGTTGGTTCCCGGCTCTCCATTCAGAACTTGAGCCTTAAGGTCCAGGATGCAACTTTCTTTTGGATGATTTCTCAGCCTCCTTTTCCTTCCTTTCTTTTCTTTGAAACGCATTTGGTGACAAAGTATTCAAAATGAGAGATAACGCAGATAAACTGTCTATGAATGACAAAAAACAACAACTAGTTTTTGAGGATATGGAACTTCAAAATAAGACTTTTAATGTTCTTTTAGTGTTTTAACTTGTGATGAATATTTATGTCAGAAAGGTTATAACTCAGATACTATATGTGACATGGGGTGGTACACTTTTAATGAAGAGTTTATACTTAATATCATATTGGAATTAATACCTGTTTTCATACTTTCTCTTTGGACTTTGTTTATAGCAAATTGCAGGTCATAGTTGAACCAAAGTGACTGATTTTAGGAGCATTGCGTCGGTGTTAAAGCCATCTTTTTCAGGTATACTCATAGCTTTTGCTTCTCCATTAACAGATATTTTCCATCAGTTATTTTCACCAGTGATGCTGCTTGAGGCCCCCAAGTTGAAAATGTGGCATTAGGTTTCTTCCAAAATGTATTCGTTGTTGCAAATTAGTTGTATTTTAACAACGTTATTTCTAGGGGACGGTGTTGAATAGTTTGTGAACATGTTTGAGTCTAAAGACGTAAAGTTATTGTGTACGTTTTTGCCGAGTTACATATCACAACGAGTACCACTTTTAATAGAAATAAGTTGCACACACAGCATCTCCCCAGGAAAGCTGCTTTAAAATGGCCTTCAGTTGATGTGTGTAGTCCAGCCATATGTCTCTCGAGAGGAGAGTGTGTGTGTGAGTGAGCCAGAGACTGTGTGTGTGTGTGTGTGTGTGTGTGTAGACGATGGGAGGGAGCGTTTGGGTTTACAGTGGAAAAAAAATCCAGCTGGCTTGCAGGACTGGAATCAGACACCACAGAGGCCTATTGAGCCCTGAGACTGAGACAATACACACACACACACTCTTGTAGGAAAACCTGCAGACAGGTAAAGACTTGTGCTGATAAAACTTCAGAGCATTCAAGCTGTGAATGTGGGCCTTTTTAAATGAGTCCCGAGGCTACGAGTCCTGCAACATTGGACCAGCTGTTCAAAATTTACTGCACGTTTTTGGAAGATTGTGTGATGAGAAGAAAGATCTTCCTCTATGAAAGTGCCGTACTAAGATTCAAATTCTGTAATCTTTTGCATTTAATTATAATTTATTCCAACTTGCGTCTTTATTCTACTTCTGATGACATTTAAAGTCACATTATCTAACCCGCTTTAAAGGGCCCGTGTAATGGAATATAATACTAAAAACTTTGTTTTGGTTTGTTTCACATGAACCTAAGAGTCTTTATGTTTTCGTTGGCTTAGAAAACATCATATCTAACATAAGGAGCGGGTGCTCTTGCCTCTTGACCGCCATGTTGCACCTCCATGTTTCTACGGTAGCCCAGAAAGGACAAAACAAGCACTGGCTCTAGGGAGTTCATGTTTTCATGTCACCTGAAGGCCGCGGTAGTTCTCCGACACGCTGCGGTACCCTGAGGCACACGGTGCATAGCGTTGATACCTACGTTGCTCCTATAGTAGTGTTATTATGGTATGGTCACCATCTTGGAAAGGGAGTCAGCTGGTTGCAATCTGCAACCACAACGCTAGATGCAGCCAAATCCTAAACACTAACCCTTTTAAGAATCGTAAAAATGAATGCTTATTTATTTTGAATATCAATATGCATTTAATAAATAAATCAAGACTAGTTATTCTTTCATACATTATTACACATTACCTGCTTTTAATTTGTTTTGATACTTGTGATTTTGGCTCTGCATTTCTTGCTATTGTATCAAAACGACTTTGTGTTGCTGTCCCACTTTACTGCTCTCAACTCTGAAGCTCAAAGTTGAACCTCTCCAGGTGTAACATGAAGCCTCGCTCTGCCGCTCATGCCGACGGCACACAAAGGTCAGGTTGTGTTAAGCAGCGGGACTAAGATGCTCTTGTTAGAGAGGTGAATATTCTATATATATATATATATATAGTAAAGCATGAATAGCATGTGTGTGCGAGTGGGGGATGCATGAAGACTGCAGTGTTTGAATCCCGGGCAGCTTGGGAAACAGACTGGAGTCTTTGTTGGGTCTCACTCTCACTTTCTCACTCTCACTTTCTCTCCCGGGGGTTTTGTTGACGTGAGATTCCTCACAACAATGTAAAGCCTCTCGGTCGGTCGCATGTGTGGGATTCTCGATCTCTGCTTCCCTCCTCAGCCTGACGTCCCTCCCGTCTCCTTCTCTTTGTCTCCGCTCATATCATAATCAAGTTCCTCAGGTTTTAACATAATGACATAGCGTCATAGCCAAGGTGGGGTTTGTTCTTTTATCTCCATTCATCCACGCGCCTCTGACGCAACAACAGATGTATTTGTGTGATGTAAGTTATATCTATTTCAGGAAAGAGAAAACATGCTCCAAAACAGGAGGTCAAATTCATCGATTAATCAAAAATATCTTTGTTTCTTCTTCAGTTTTCCTTAAGATCCGAAAAGACTGCTTTAACTTTGTGGTTCTGGCGGTCCCTGTGAACGAGATTGGTAGTGTTTCAGAGTACCAGAGTCCCTTCAGAAAACCTCTCATTTTACTGCAGCAGGGTCTGACAGTCTGCTCCTCTCAGTCCTGGTTCTCCCGTGCCTCCCTTCCCTCCAGCGGGTCCAGCAATACGTCCTGGGTCTCCAGCAGCGTGGAGTCGGTTTTGGCTCCCAGAGAGGAGAAGCTCTGCTCCTGGAGGAGGAGGAGGAGGAGGAGGAGGACGACGACGACGACGACGCTGCTGCTGCTGCTGCCGCTGCCGGGAGCTGAGCTCTCCTCCTCCCTCCGGAGCTCCGACTGCAGGTCCAAGGCTGCAGGTGAAGCCGGATCTGGGTCTGTCCACGGTGGACCGGTCTCTGCTGGAGGATCTGGGTCTGTCCACGGTGGACCGGTCTCTGCTGGAGGATGAAGTGTTTGTAGTCATGAATTGATGCTCAGCTGGGAGATAACCGCCCGTCTTGGTTTGACCAAATGTCTGCTTTTGAGTAGAAGCTTGGCCTCCTGTCAGACAGATCAGGAAATAGACAGAGAGAAAGTGAACTAAACTGAAATGCTATTTCATGCTCTTACACATACTTGTCATTAAAAAGAAACTTGGCGTGGCGCCCAGCACATGGTGTACCTGTGGAGAGAAGAAGAGGACATACAGAGGAAACGCGTGTATTTGCTCTGCTCACACTGCAGGGCAGCTGTGTGTGTGTGTGTGTGTGTGTGTGTGCTTACATAACACACAGCATACCTGCAGATAAAAACTCACCTGTGTCTTTAAATCAAACTCCAGCTGTAATACAGCCCTTCAATTGATATAATGCCTTTGACAGCTTAAGTATTTACTCAAGTACTGTGCTTCGAGGTACTTTACTTGAGTATTTCCATTTTGTGATACTTTATACTTCTACTCCACTACATTTGTCTGACAGCTTCAGTTTCTTTTCAGATGACAGTTTTTCATGTAGATTAAACTAGTTAACAGGATATGAAGGAGTAAAGATGCAACATACACATTAGTGCAGGAGAAACATCAGGTATAATAGTAAAACACTGACGGGGAACATTTTACTGCAAAATCAATACTTTTCAAACTTAAAGTAAATTCTACTAATAATAATGTAATAATAATGTTACTTTTTAAATATTTCTACAGTGTGTTTTCACAGTGTGGTATCTGTACTTTTACTCATGTAAAGGATCTGAGTACACACACTTAGAGTCGCTTTATTCATCGAGAGCAAACACACAAGGAGTCGAAAGGTAAACAGCCTGATCCGTGTGCTCACTGAGCTCAGCCTGTTCTCCGTCGGGGCAGGGCATCCTGCTCGCCGGTGGCCTCGCTCTGTCTCTCTCTGAATGCTCCATGTGTCTGTTGTGTCAGTCCGTAGGCAGCACAGACACACACACACAGACACACAGTTTATATACAGATAGTGAGTAAATGATGACATAATTTCACAACCACTCACATTTTACTGCCAATCAAAGTTCGAGTGTCTCTGATGTCTGTGTCTATTTTAGTTTTACTCAGCAGTTATCAAAGAAGTATTCAGATCCCTTACCAGGATTTTCTCAACACATAAAGGAAACACTTCATCCTTTAGTTTATCACAAATATTAAACATCAACACATCTGGAGATACGTGGTTTTCACTGGAAGGGGATGAAAAACTGTCATCTGAAAAGAAACGAAATTTCTTAGACAAATGCAGTGCAGTAAAAGTAAAGTACTTTAAATGTGTACTTGAGTAAATGTACTGGGTTACATTCCACCACTGTGTTCCAGATTTGAATAATACAACCAGACCGTCCTCTCCATCTTTAACTCACCTAAAGGAATGCGCCTGTATTCGATAATGAAGTGTTATTAATGCAGGTGTGGTGCCGGATCTTCTGGTTGGTCGACTGATAGTTGACTACAGTTAATTAATACTTACATCAATTATTTTTTAAGACACTATTATATGGAGAATTTTCTGATTAAACTTAAATCATCCAATCAGCTAAAATATAATTCTATCAGCAAATGCTAGCATCCAGCAAGCCAAACTAAAATGGGGAAGATGGTAAACCTGCTTAGCAACAGTGTTTTAGCATTTTGAGCATGTCAGCACGCTAGCGTTACAGAGCTGCTAGCATGGCTGTTGATTCTTATTTTTCTTTGGAAACTGGAGCTGCTTCCTGATTTGCTGTTTATTACCATATTATGTTTCTGTGTTTCATTAATTAAAGTGACACATATCAATATAAGATATGTTTCATACACATGGAA